AGGTTGCTGACCCCTGTGAGTCCAGCTCCTGAAGAAGGAACTGGCAATCCACTCCAGTATTCTGCCAAGAAAACACCGTGGACATAAAAAAAGGAGAAGCTTTGAGAATAAAGTGTTTCCAAGGCATGCTCTGATTCATGGGGTCATGGAGAGTCGAACACAACTAAGCTGACTAAACAACAAATACCTCTAGCTATATCTCTATCAATGTCTGTCTGTCTGTCTGTCTGTCTGTCTGTCTGTCTCATATCCCATCCTTGGCATCCTCCACTGCACTGGCTCCCGCTGGAGTACAGGGTCAGTTTTAAGGTGCTGTTTTTGACCTTTAAAGCCCCATGCGACCTAGGACCCATGTACCTATGGACCGCCTCTCCTGGTATGCCCCGCGGAGGACCTTAAGGTCCACAAATAATCACACTTTGGAGGTCCCGGGCCACAGGGAGGTTAGGCTGACCTCAACCATAGCCAGGGCTTTTTCGGTGGTGGCCCCGACGTGGTGGAACGCTCTGTCCCAAGAGACCAGGGCCCTGCGGGACTTGACATCTTTCCACAGGGCCTGCAAGATAGAGCTGTTCCGCCTGGCCTTTGGTTTGGATTCGGTCTGACCCTTATGTTTCCCTCCCTTTATGGCCTTATTTATCAGGTACTTTAAAATGAGGCTGCATTTTAAATTGCATTTTAACCTGTACAGTGGTACCTCGGGTTACATACGCTTCAGGTTACAGACTCCGCTAACCCAGAAATATTACCTCGGGTTAAGAACTTTGCTTCAGGATGAGAACAGAAATCACACGGCAGCAGGAGGCCCCATTAGCTAAAGTGGTGCTTCAGGTTAAGAACAGTTTCAGGTTAAGAACAGACCTCCAGAACGAATTAAGTACTTAACCCGAGGTACCACTGTATTTTAAATTGGTTCTCCCCCCTCTTTTCCCCCTATTATGTTTTTACTGTGATTTTATTGGTGTTAGCTAACCTGAACCACCACCACAACCCACAGCATCAATAATAATTCAACTGCACCAGAGATTCTGGAAAGCGAGGGGAAATCTGTGGATTAGTTTTTTGCCAGCGTTCCTAGAAGCAGAACCGCAGGCACTCAACATCCCACATCCCAGGCAGGTGACTCACAAGGGCTTATGGCGCAGTTCCGTGGCAGCAGAGGAACAGCATCTTTAGCGGAAAACCCTCCCCGTGGCTTCTGCTTCACAGATATTTGTCTAGCAATGCGTCCGTTCCTTCACACCCACATCTCTCTCTCACACACAGGCAGCTCTGCCAAGCGAAGGCGCGGGAAGGAAAGTTCAGACATCAGTGGAGAAAAACATGCGCAGGTGGAGAGAGGCTTGTGGCATGTGGGCAAGCCCACTGGTCTGGGAGAAACCGAAACCTCCCTTTGCACAGCCACAATGTGCCAAGGGAAAGGGTTGTTGTAAACAAAAATCTGCCCTTTTTTCCCTTATGGGGTACCCAAGAGCCCATATAGAGTCCTTACGTAGGTTCCCTATTGGTAGGAGAAAAGAACAGAGGCCAACCAGAGAATATTGAGAAGCAAAGCAGCTAGTAAGCCTGATCTTTATTGATCTGTTGCAACAGGGTCCTTCCTCACCACACGCAGGAGGGAGGAGGAACCCAGAACAATAGCGCACAAGGCCTTATATAGACATTTGAAATTCCCTGCCCTGGAGCTCAAGACCATCCCTCCATACATCATGCATACATCACAGAAGGGGTGTAACCCAAGACCACCACCCCCATACATCATACCTACATCACAGAAACGGCGGTCTACAGCAGAAATATGAGTGCGGCAGGTTACCTGTTTAATGGTCACTTGATTGGATTGCCTGGGGAGCCTGGCCAATGTTTTGTGATGATAAATACTTAGTTCCTGAGCCAGGTCACAGGCTCACACCCTATTCGTATCTTAAATGTGCCCTTAAGACAGGATTTGTGAAGAAAAGACAATGGGGAGGCTTTTCCATTTTCCTTTGACCTTGCAGAAGAAACATTTGGTCAGTTTGGGAATCAAAATGGTTTCAGGTTGGTCTTCCTGTGCTGATCTATGTACGTGCTTGGTTGGTACGCTTATGAACATTTAACATATATCTAAGACCTAAAAAAAAAAAAAAAAAAGCAGAGACATTACCTTGCCAGCAAAGGTACTTCAAGCTATGGTTTTCCCAGTAGAGAAGTATGGAAGTGAGAGCTGGACCATAAAGAAGGCTGATCGCCGAAGAATGGATGCTTTTGAATTCCGGTGCTGGAGAAGACTCTTGAGAGTCCCATGGACTGCAAGAAGACCAAACTGATCCATTCTGAAGGAAATCAGCCCTGAGTGCTCCCTGGAAGGACAGATCCTGAAGCTGAGGCTCCAAGACTTTGGCCACCTCCTGAGAAGAGAAGACTCCCTGGAAAAGACCCTGATGTTGGGAAAGATGGAGGGCACAAGGAGAAGGGGACGACAGAGGACAAGATGGTGGGACAGTGTTCTCAAAGCTACCAACGTGAGTTTGACCAAACTGCGGGAGGCAGTGGAAGACAGGAGGGCCTGGCGTGCTCTGGTCCAGGTCACGAAGAGTCAGACACGACTAAACAACAACAACAAGACCTCAAAATTCCTATCACAGGGTCAGGCAAGGGAAACAGGAGCGATCAATGGGATGGAGCGACTCGGCTATGAGGAAAGCACTGGGGGCCTTTTTGCTTAGACCAGCGATGGCCAAACTTGGCCCTCCAGCTGTTTTGGGACTACAATTCCCATCATCCCTGGTCCATCACGGGCTTAGACAAAAGAGAAGTCTGCAACATGGTGCATTGCATGGAGGCAGCAAGAGAGAGCAGCTTTTCATGGATATCCATCAAATCTTAGTATACGTGCTGCCAAAACAAGAACGTGGACCTCCAAGGAAGTGGGATGTTGTGAGATTCTCAGGACAGAAAAAAGAAAGCCCTTCACACAGGTGCAGTGTTAAAACTGTGGAACTCTCTCCCACTGGAGACAGGGATGGCCACCAACTTGGATAGCTTTAAAAGAGGACTGTCACGCTCAGGTTTTGCTTGCGAGTTGCCTGCAGGCATCTAGAGAACCAAATGCTTGACTAGATGGCCTCTTTTTGTGTCCTTATTATTCCGTACTGCTTCTGCGGTCTCTTCCTTTTTTTGCATTTGCCTATTGCAGTCTGCCTTCCTATCTTGTGAGAGTGGGCAGAACATACGTACCGTATTTTTCGCTCTATAGGACGCACTTTTCCCCCTCCAAAAATGAAGGGGAAATGTGTGTGCGTCCTATGGAGCGAATGCAGGCTTTTGCTGAAGCCTGGAGAGCAAGAGGGGTCGGTGCGCACCAACCCCTCTCGCTCTCCAGGCTTCGGGCAGCTATCCGCAAGCCTTCGGAGCCCAGCGGGAGTTCCCACCAGGCTCCGAAGGCTTGCGGATAGCAGCCTGCAGCCTGAAGCCCCGCTGCTAAAAACGAAGCCGCGCGCAGCCTCTCCCAGCTGGAGAGCTTGTGTGTGGCTAAAGAGGAAATCAAGACAGCCAGCGGGATGGATCCCACTGGTTGTCTTGGCTTCTTTGCTCTTTGGGGCTGGGGGGGGGAAATAATTCTTTTCTTCTTTATTTCCCCCCCTCAAAAAAAAAACTAGGTGCGCCCTATGGTCCAGTGCGCCCTATGGAGCGAAAAATACGGTATTTGTGCAAATAAATAAATAAATTAGTGTATGCACGCTGTATGAAACTTTCAACTACTGGACCTCGGCCGTCGGTACTTAGCAATACCCTTGCAAAGTTGGGCTAATAGTGTTAAGTTGTGGGTGAACATATCAGACGACACAGCGATTCTCCAAACAGCTCTTGTTTATTCACAGGCCAGAACTGAACTGAACTGAAGGGTTCAGCCAGCCTGCTTATATAGAGCTCCACTACAACGCAACTGTAACAACTTTGTGTAACTATCCAATTACTGAACGTCACTTTCAATCCCTTATTTGCATATGTGGACCTGAGTGAAAATTATCTACAGTATCCCCCTGCTGGTCCAGGGTGAGAACTTCGGTACATAACAAACAGCACCTCAAGGAGGCAAAAGGTGCCTTATAATTAGTTGGGTTGCTTGTCCATCTAGTCCAGTGTTGCCAGCACTGAGTCCTTCCCATGTTCTTTGCTTCCCTTCGCAACGGCAACTCTCGAGCTGTGCAAGCCAGATGTCAAGGCGTGCCTCTTCCTGCATTTAGCCTGTGGGCACAAATTCTCATGAGAACTCGCGTTGGCTGCCTCTGCACCAACAGCCTGTTAGTACGCCTTGCACTGGTTCCTTAGCTTTAGCCAATGTGCTGAGCTCCAGCTGTTGTCAGATCACAACACACATAGAGTCAGAGATTCATAGAGTTGGAATCATAGACCTCGAGGATAAACTCGTCCAACCCCCCGCAAAGCAACTCAGGTTATTATTTGTGGGGCAAATTATTTTTTTAGTAAAAATTATAGCCCCAGCGGGGGGAATTGTGATAGGAATTCTAAGGTCTCATATATATATAAATCATAAATTTACAAGGCAAACACATACATACGGTAAGTATATACACATGTCTGAAATAGTACAGGAGAGCAATCCTGAAACCATTTTGACTCTCCCAAATTGACCTCAAATGTTTCTCTGCAAGGAGGAAGGAAATGGGGAAAGCCTTCCTATTGTCTCTTTTCTCGCAAATCCTGTCTTAAGGGCGTATTTGTGTATGAACAGGGTGAACCTGTGACCTGGAGTCAGGAACTGAGTATTTACCATCACAAAAGGATGGCCAGAATGCCCAGGTAAAAGCAATCAGTGACATAGCTGTCAACTTACAGATTTGAAAATAAGGGACCAGCAGCCTCGAAAATAAGGGATCAGCAGCCAAAATAAGGGATTTTCAGAGTACAGATATGTTCAACTTCTGAGCCCCTCCGAGCCAAAGGCAGAAAGCCCAGCCAGCAGCCAAACGAAGCCTCAAGTGGTGGTTCCCACAGCGCAGCAACCCAGCAAAGGGGATGCAGCAAGGGAAACCACCGTCCCCTCTCCGCTGGGAAGTGCTGAGCAAAGGCGAGTCCCCAGGCAACGCGGCCAAATTGATCGGCACCAGGCATGCAAGCTCCACCCCCCTAGTTGTTCTTAGGCTCCTTATTGGGTGAGCAACGGAGCCAAGCAACACAGTTGGAGCCTCCCTCCTCCCTGGCCGGCAGGGAGGGAGGGAGAGGAGCTGCTTCCTATGAAACACAGGAAATTTATGGGACATCGTCAATCTGAGACAGCAGCGGGACACAGAGCTGGGATAAGGGAGTTTCCCGCCAAATAAGGGACAGTTGACAGCTATCATCAGTGACCATTATCAGGTACCTTGGCAGACAGGGTTCTGCTATAGACCACCCCTTCTATGAAGTATGTATGATGTTTTTGGGGGTGGTCTTGGGCTACAGGGTGGACAATTTCAAAAGTCTATTTAAGGGCTTGCACACCATTGTTCTGGGTTCATCCTCCCTCCTGTGTGTAGGGAGTGAGGACCCTGTTGCAACAGTTAAATACAGATCAGGCTTACTAACTGCTTTGCTTCTCAATATTCTCTGGTTGGCCTCTTGTTATTTTCTCCTACCGCTAGAGAACCTACATAAGGACTCTATAAGGCTCTTGGGTACCCCATAAGGGGAAAGGAGAAGTCTTTTCTTATAACACAACTGCAACCCGGGCGTTCATCAGCACCACGCTCTAACCAGCCGAGCTATCCAGGCTGCTAACATCATCCATTCAAAGTGTTGGTCCTGACCTTTAAAGCCCTGTGTGTGCGTCTTATGGAGCGAATGCAGGCTGCGCAGCTATCCCAGAAGCCAGAACAGCAAGAGGGATTGCTGCTTTCACTGCGCAGCGATCCCTCTTGCTGTTCTGGCTTCTAGGAATCAGAATATTTTTTTTCTTGTTTTCCTCCTCCAAAAACTAGGTGCGTCTTGTGGTCTGGTGCGTCTTATAGAGCAAAAAATACAGTACAAAATCTGAATATGCGGAAGGCTCAAAGATTGTCCCCACCCCAACTGATCTAGGGCTGCCCCATGTGGTCACCGCTCACCCTCTTGCTCTCCACCCCACCCAGAGATCGTCCTCCCAGAACCTATCGGAACTACGTGAGAGGGCTCTGTAGGAGACATCACGACGGGCAGCGGAACAACGAGTACATGAAAGCCCGACAGAACGTGGACCCGGAGCCTCAACACCTTTGGGAACAGCTGGGAAGTCATGGTCCCCAGCAGAGAAAGGAGGCTGGCAGCCATCCTGGCATCAGGTCAGGCCCTGGGGCAGCTCTTGTCCCTCATACTCGGCTTCTCCCTCATTCAGCAGTTAATCTCTAAACAAGAAGCAGAGAGCTGGGTCTCAAACTCCCTAGAGAAGCAGATTGGAACTGCAGGCCAGCCACATCTGCGGATGGCAGCATGTTGGCCACCCCAGAAGACCCACTGTCTTAAGCCCCCAAGTCACTCACACGTGACCCTGTCGTCTGCTTGTCTGTACCACTGCAAACCTTCTGCCTCGGATTTCTGCGCCGATAATGCACAGATCTGCACAGTGGTCATGAATGCAGCTCACAAAGGGTCCATGTAGTCTGAAGGCAACTAATTGCCCCCGTTAAGAGGGTGGAAAGGGATGCGGGTGGCGCTGTGGGTTAAACCACAGAGCCTAGGACTTGCCTATCAGAAGGTCGGCGGTTCGAATCCCCGCAATGGGGTGAACTCCCGTTGCTCTGTCCCAGCTCCTGCCAACCTAGCAGTTGGAAAGCACGTCAAAGTGCAAGTAGATAAATAGGTACCGCTCCGGCGGGAAGGTAAACAGCGTTTCCATGTGCTGTTCTGGTTCTCCAGAAGCGGCTTAGTCATGCTGCCCACATGACCCGGAAGCTGTACGCCGGCTCCCTCGGCCAGTAAAGCAAGATGAGCGCCACAACCCCAGAGTCGGCCACGACTGGACCTAATGGTCAGGGGTCCCTTTACCTTTTAAGAGGGTGGAACTGCTTTGAAAATACACCCAGTTCCTTGCTCTGGAAGGAGGAAGGCAGCTAAATCCAGCTCCACAGTGCCACCTGCCGGCAGAAACCTCACAAGGAATATCTCCCCTTTTCTCTCTCTTCCCAGCCTTACAAGTCTAGGAATCTAGAAAGCTGACCATCGCTCCATCCTGCCCAGTGATGTCTACACTGGGGACTGAACCTGGGACCTCTAATACTGAGCTATGTCCCTTTCTATAATTCTTCATCGTGGAAAGAAAAGCTCTTGAGATTGTAAGGCTACCAGATATTTTTTTCAATGAATCCGGGGACACTTCAAATAAATAAATACTACACGTCTGGGACGTTGATGATGCAGCGACGGCGATTTGCTGCCTTGATCTCAACCGCCACGTTTCCCCTTCGTCCGAGGCTTCTATCTCCTTTCTCCCTGAGCCTGGGAAGCCCCTGAGTTGTGGGTTCTTCGGCGGTGGTGGTGGGGAAGCGGTGCGCAGTGGGTCAGGCGTGGAAGGCGGAGAAGGAGGGCCGAGAGCGGTGGCCGTGAGGCTCAGGCAGCGCGATGCCTCCCTTCCCATCGGAGCACCCCCAACCCCATTCCCACTTCCGTGCAAGCATACAGAAATCAACTGGAATATAAAACAGTAAATATTTATTTGACAGCTGCGTATTGAAAATATACGATTTCTTCCTTTTCTCCGCCAGATACTTGGTTGCTTACAATGTACGGGTCTTGACTTAACCCTACCCAAGTTCAGTAGCCTAGGCTAGGACTTAAAAAAATAGAGCACAGATCAGCCTTCTGGCCTGGGGGTTACAAACACCACCCCACACCACCCCATCAAAACATCAGCTATATTGGTGGGAATAACATTTATAAAGCAAGCTGTGATGCCTCAACAGCAGTTTGTTCTTGACTGTAAGGTCTTTGGGGGCAGAGACCAGTTTTCTTCTCCATTCTTTGCCGTACACGTCACAATCAATACCTTTTGGTCCTCCCCCTCCGTCCGTCAACTGCCACAAAAGCAAGATGAAACACACTCCTCTTTTTTTTAGTTGTGCATCTCAGATGAACAAAACTCTTTTTGTGCTGGTTCAAATCCCACCCACTTGAAATACCCCAGAACTTTTAAATTTCTTTATTTGAAGAGCTGGCAGCTTTACACCGTTTAACAAATGGCCTGGTTTTCTTAGGAAGGGCGCCACAGAATCGTAGAGCTAGTCAAACTGCTTGCAATGCAACGATCGCAGCTGAATCGCCAAAGCACAATTAATTTTCTCCCAAATTCCGATCAGGGTGTTAAGCAGAGGTACCCTTAATTTAGATCATGGGGTAGGCAAACTAAGGTCCAGGTGCTGGATCCGGCCCAATCGCCTTCTAAATCCGGCCCGTGGACAGTCCAGGAATCAGTGTGTTTTTACATGAGTAGAATGTGTTCTTTTATTTAAAATGCATCTCTGGGTTATTTGTGGGGATAAAAATTGGTTCATATTTTTTTTCTAAAATATAGTCCGGCCCCCCACAAGGTCTGAGGGACAGTGGAACGGTCCCCTGCTGAAAAATTTGCTCACCCCTGATTTAGAATAACTAGAATAAAGATGGGCCAGTTAAGACATTCCCAGAAATCAAGGCTCATAGTGGTAAGAATAAGCCACAGTGACCATAATTCACTGATTCTCCTCTTCCCCACTCCACATTAGAGGCAGAAGGAAAACTTGCACCTCTGGTTTGCAGCTAACCAGCTTACCAACAGCAACCAAACGTGGCTTGGGCAAGCCATTGTTTCCTCTCCAACCGGGATCTGAAATCGTATTTCAGTCCTTGCCTTCAGAACCATGGTTTGCACAAACCAGAGTTTGCTGCACTTCAAAGAAACTGGGGGGGGGGGGCAAGAGGAAGAGAGCGAGCCAATGCCAGTGAATTAGATCACTGAATTAAAATGCATTCGGTTAGGATCCTGCACTGTCAGGGGGCTTGGACTAGATGGCCCCTGCCAACGCTACAATTCTTTGATTCTGTAAGGAATTAAGATACCAAGGCTGTGAATTCTATACACATTTTCCTAGGAATAAATCCCATTCAACTCAATGGGGCTTACTTCTGAGTAACCATGCCTAAGATTGCACTGGTTGATCTCTTTAACAAGATCTAGGGCTTGGTTGCGTACCGAGTCTCTCTTAGATCAATGGGGATTACAGTGCACGCTCGGGTTGCAAATGTGATCTGTGCGGGAAGCACATTCACAACCCACAGCGCAATTCGGCGCTTCTGCGCATGTGCGACTACCGAAACCCGGAAGTAAACCGTTCCGGTACTTCCGGGTTTCGGCGGTCTGCAACCCAAAACAACGCAACCTGAAGCGTCTGTAACCCGAGGTATGACTGTACTTCCAGATATATACGGACAGGACTGTGGCCTTCAACAGAGGTAATTTCCCCCCCTCCCCCCCTCAAAAACCCTTAGCAGGCAGTCCTTCAGGGACTGCTCCAATTGCTATTTATATTTTAGTATTTGTATTTGTATTCCCATCCAGTCAACCTTTTCTTCCCTCACAGGTGATTCCCAGGCAGTCTCCCATCCAGACACTCACCAGCCCCACACCTGCTTAGCTTCAGCATTGGGGGAGACCCTCAGGCCAAGCACCCTGGGACTAGGAGGCAGAAGGCGTTATTTCTCCAACTAGGGACTGCTGGGTAGCGTTTTTCTCTTTTAAAATCCATTTCCTATGAAAAGGCTACGAAGTCTAAGCTCTGACACTATTAAACAAAAACTCACCTCTGCGCTTTATACGTCAATATGTTAACGAACGGCATGGAATTAAAAAAAGAGCAACAGAAATATTTCAATGTGTTACCAGAGCGGCGTTGCTCCCCCAAACTCTCCTCATCCAACGGGACGTTTGTGTTTACTTAATACGACGGTTGCTTTCCCCCCATCCTTGTTGCGAGACCAAAGTGGGCCTTCGATACAGATGACGAAAATCAAGACTACAACTCCCAACAGGCAATAGGGAGGTGGCACGCACTGCATGCTGGGATGCTTAGTCTTCCCAAGCAGCCCTAGACTTCTGAGTCCTCCTGTCTATGGGGAATGTTCTCAGAGTAGGGTGAATCCCATTGGATGGATCACACAAAGTGGTCCTACAGAGGAGAGCTGGGGATCCTGTTCCCGCGCCCCCCAGATACCGCTGCACTACAACTCCCATCATCCCTGTGCTGCAGGGGATGATGGGAATTGGAGTCCAGGAACCTCCAGAAAGCTACAGCTTCCCCCAGCCCTGTTGAAAGGAGTTGGTCCAGGCCTGCAACCTCCAGACTGGAGACTCTCCAGGGATTCAACCTGCAATAGCCGATATCCAAAGGCTCTGGCACAGATTTGCAGCCCTGCCTTACGCATGAATCCGTCAACAAGGCGCAAATGTACCCAAACCCATCCAGGCAGCAAGCTGTGCTCCTTCTTGTCCAAACAATATTCTTCTCCCTTGCGACACCTATTTGCCAAACATCAAATGTGCAAGGCAAGAGCTGGTTCTCCAAAGCGTGGATCCTACACCAGGGTGGAGGAACTCAGGCCTGGGGTCTGAATCTGGCCCTGAAGACCTCTACATCTGACCCTCAGATCTGTCCCCAGGCCTCAAGGCCAGCCCCACTCCGGGCGTGTTTATGGGCGGCCAGAACATGTCACTGAACTCTAACGATGACGCTCGGCCGACTGTACAAAGGCGAAATTTGTTGCTGCGCCCATTTTTGCCACTGGCTCCACCCACCGCTGCCATGTGACCCCCGGGAAAGAACGAGGTGGGAAAGGTTCTTCAGCTACAAGATCAGAACGGATCCCAACCGCCGTTCCTTCTGGCCAGGAAAACCAGTGCGCCCGCTCACAGGAGGGAGGGAGTGTTCACACACACCGCCGACGGGGAAGAGACCCTGGATCTACTTCAGGACAGCGCCAATTGGCAAGCCCTGAAGAGGTTCTGTTTGGAAGCGCAGGGAGAAGACTTGAGGACCCTCTCTAACATCTTGCCCGACAGGCGCTGCGACCGTCGCTGCTCAAAAACCCTCCCTGGCCCTCGATAAATATCCCGCAAGATCCACGCAGCTCCTGCAAGATCCATGGTGCGGAAGAAGCATTCAGCGATCTCCATCTCAGGAGATCCGTCTGTTTTCCTAAGCAAACGACGAGACAACGGCAGACGCGTTGGGACGTGCAAGATTTCGCCTGGAGGGAGGAAGGGAAGGAAAGGAAGGAAAGCTTTTGCACCAAAGTCAAAAACAAGAGCTCAAAGAAAACCGTCTTGTTATCTCAGCAGGGAAAATATAGCTTCTCCTAGCAGGGCAAAAACCCAGGAGACCGTTTCTGGTGGGGGCAGAAGTTGGGAACGTCCGCTTCTCCCGTCATGGCTGCTCTACAACCAAATAAACCTCTTCTCCCTCGTCCCCCCAAAGTCCTCTGGAAAGGGTCTTCCAAAATCCTAGAAATCCGAATCGAGGTCCAGCAATTCCGCATCCATGAGGTTTGTCCGGGAGTGCATAGGGGCTGGCAGCTCCCCTCGCCGTCCCTGCGGAGCCCTGCGCGGGGTGCCGCTCAGAAAGGCAGGCCCCGGGGCCACGCTCCGGGGTGGCGGCTGGGGGAAGCTGCCGCGAGGCAGAGGCTGCCGCCGTCCCGGGAAGAACCAGGCGCCGCTTCCGGGTCCTGCCTCCTCCACGGGGCCGTTATCCGGGCAGAAGGGGTGGGTGACGGGAGGCAGGGCGGCGCTGTTCCGCCGGCAGCCGAGGGCCGACGGGTGCTCTGGGGGCGGCCCCCTGGAAAAAGGGTCCTCTTGGGGCAGGGCCGCGGGCCGCCAGGCCGGGTAGGCCCTGGGCGCAAGGACGTCGTTGAGGGCCTGAGCCTCCCTGGCGCTGGCCACGAAGCACTTGGTCTTGGGGAGCTGGGGGAGGCGAGGGACGGAGCTGAGGCGCTGTGGGGCGAAGGGGTCCAGGTCGTAGGCGGGCCCCATGGGGCAGACCTCCTTTTTCTTCCGCCGCTTTTTCTTCTTGCGGCTCAGCTTCTTCTCCCGCCGGGGGGACAGCTCAGTTTCCACCAGCCACAAGTTGGCTCGCTCCTCGGGGGGCACTGTGTGGGTGGGCAAAGGAAGGGCAGAGGCGATGGTTAGGGGGGGTACGGGACCTCCGTCCGAAGCCCCCCACCCCAGCGCACACACCTCAAAACCCCAAATCGCTGCTTGCTTCGAGATGGCTGATTCGTTTCACGGCACTCCCAGGCCGAACCAAACATTCAAAGCGCTGTGGAGGCACATGAAACCATCATGGCTTCCCCCTGCAAAGGATTCTGGGAGCTGGGGGTTTGCTAAGGGCGCTGGAAGTTATGAGGAAACTCCCCGCCCCACCGTTCTCCTTAAAGGTAAAAAGGGTAAAGGGACCCCTGACCGTTAGGTCCAGTCGCGGACGACTCTGGGGTTGCGGCGCTCATCTCACTTTATTGGCCGAGGGAGCCGGCGTACAGCTTCCGGGTCATGTGGCCAGCATGACTAAGCCGCTTCTGGTGAACCAGAGCAGCGCACGGAAACGCCGTTTACCTTCCTGCCAGAGCAGTACCTATTTATCTACTTGCACTTTGACGTGCTTTCGAACTGCTAGGTGGGCAAGAGAAGGGACCGAGCAACGGGAGCTCACCCCATCGCAGGGATTCGAACCGCCGACCTTCTGATCGGCAAGCTCTAGGCTCTGTGGTTTAACCCACAGCGCCACCTGCGTCCCTAACATTCTCCTTACGGAGCTACAATTCCCGGAGAAGAAGAGGGATTGATTGTTGAACAACTCTGGGAATCGAAGGGAAGGCCACATTCATAGCATACATTTCAAGGGCTGGGATACTCCTTGAAACCGTCATGGCTTCACCCCCAAAGGATTCTGGGAGCTGGGTGAAGGGCACTGAGAGTTGTAAGCTCCCCTCACTGAACTACAATTCCCAGAGTTCCCTGTGAAGAAGAGGGATTGGTTGTGAAACCACTCAGATCAAAAATAACAGTTTAGGCCAGGAAACATCAGGGAAATGTCATAAACTACCATGTGAAACACAGCCATAGACACCCAGTATTACTATTATTTTTGTAATGTTATCGTTGCTTCCCTTGCTCTGTCTATACACCAAATAGAATATTATTGAAAGAAAGAAGAAAATAAGCAGAATTACCTGGCGTCGCTACCGGAGTGACGGAGACATCCTGAGACAAAATGGCTCCCCTCCTGGCTACCATCTTGGTCACATGCTGGGCCCAGGCAGAGGACACATCTCCCGACGGCTCATTGATATCGAAAACCAAACCAGCTGGGAAAAGAAAATTATAATGATGTATACAAATCAAAGGGGGAAGGGGAGAATATTTCAAACAATGAGTTTTTCAAAGCCTGAATCCCCTCAGAATTATCTTGGCCAACGTTTGCCCACTGTGGTGGGACGGCTGGGTTGCATTCCATTATGATATTTCTTCTAATCGGTGTTTGAACTGTTAATACATACTGTGGTGAACCACACTGGGCACAATTTTGTGGGAGAATGATAAAAGTAAATGGCATTAAAAAAAAAAAGCAAAAAAGCAAGGAAATAGTCATGTTGAAGGTCAGGAACATTCAGGGGTGTCAGGAATTGTAACCCAGCTCAAACAATTCTGTATGCAATTATGCAGAATTTCCCCAAGACAAAATGTAAAAATAAGACATTTATATTCCACCAAGTGTCGGTTTCTTTAAATATGACATGACTTAAATGTATGCAATACCCCCAGAGATGGAAAGAAGATAAAAGTCCCGAAAAGAGATGAATGGTTGATGAAGATGTCTTTAATGACAGATGTTTTAATGTATTTTTAATCTTTTGTTGGAAGCTGCCCAGAGTGGCTGGGGAAACCCAGCCAGATGGGCGGGGTAGAAATAAATTATTATTATTATTATTATTATTATTATTATTATTATTATTGACTACACCAAAATGGCAAAAATGACCGGGAAAATCAGAAACCAGGAAGATAGAAACTTTAACAAGGAATGAGGAAAAATTACAATTTACTTAAGAGAACACTGTAAACAGCTAAAAACTTTTGGCAGGATTTGAGTAACGCTTGTAATGTATTAAAAACTAAGGTAAAAATGGACTATCTTAAGAAAAATAGAGAAAAAATATGATGCAGTAGAAAAAGATTGATAATGGAAACCATGGAGGGGTAGAGGGAAGTCTAAGTATTCAGGGAATCCTAAATGTTGTTGATGATGATTAATGTGTGAATTCAAATGTATAGTGTAAAATTGAATAAAAAATTATTTAAAATAAAGTAAATGTATGCAATACCAACAACATGTTCAAGTGATGTTGCAATACCAACATCATGTTCAAGTGAACAGATCCCGTTCGCAACCAGAGGTACCACTGTATAGCATATATTCAACACAAAAAAAGCGTGACAATTTGTGGTTGACAAAGGACAGCTGGACATATCAAGGGCACCATTACCTTCAGTAGCTGAGGGCCTCATCAAACCGAAATCTGGCCCTGGCCTGGCTGTGGGAGGCTGCCCTCCATCGGACCGGCGTGGAGCCCCAAAGCACCCCCTTCCCTGTGGACATACGTACCAACCGGCCCCTCGTGCGAGACAGTCCGCAAGCTGAAGGAGAGCTCTTGGTTGGGGTTGTGCTGAAGATCTTTGCGCCGGGAAAAGGCCTTGGCAATCATCTTGCTCTTCTTCAGCCTCTTGGGCTCGTTGCTGCTCTGGCCAGTCAGCCTGCGGGGAGGGGATGTATTTATTTGATGCATACCCAAAAATCCTCAAAGCAGTTTACCAAAAAAAAAAGAGAGAGAGAGAGAGAGAGAGGAATAAAATCACCCCTAAGAAAAAGCACCAGCGATAATCTAAAACATTCGAAAGTTAAAAACTGGAAAAATAACGCAGCTCCCTTTAATGATTGGATTGAAAATATGTGCAAATTTGCTGCACACTAACAAGTTGTGTACAAATGTAGACTTGCCATGGTGAAATTGAACAAAATTTGGAATTCTTTTTTATAGGTACCATATGAGATTAAGGCCTGGTTAACAACAACAACAACAACAACAACAACAACAACAATAATAATTTTATTTATATCCCGCCCTCCCCAGCCGAAGCTGGGCTCAGAGCGGCTAACAACAGTAAAATAATACATTCTAAAATCAGTTCAAATCAAATATCAAGTCGTCGTCCCCCTTTTTTGTAACGTGCACAGTCTCTTTTTTTTGTTTCATTTGCTACATGCGTACTATTTCTTGTTTCTTAGTTTTTGTGCACTTGTATTTTTGTACTTTTCATTTTTCAATAAAGAATTTAAAATTTAAAAAACCAGACTTAAAAAAAAAGATCGAAATGCACCTCAAATTTCTAAACTGCTGGGCAGGTAATTTTTGTCTATCCCAGCCTTTCTCCACCTGTGGGCCCCCGGATGTTGTTGAACTAGAACTCCCATCACCCCTAGCTAGCAAGGCCAGAGCTCAGGGATGATGGGAGTTGTAGTCCAACGACATCTGGGGACCCACAGGTTGAGAACCACAAAAATGGTTTCAGCAGATACCGAAAAGAGTGCTGCGAAAAGAATGCCAAGTGGCAGGGAGTTCCAAAGTTTAGCTGCTGACACACTAAAATATCGAGTTCTTACAAATGGTTTATTATGTAACGGTCAGTATCGTCGGTTCGGCCAGAAGCCCAGTGCAGAGCAGCTAGGGTTCTGGCGCCTGGAAGCCGCAGGATGGTCTCAAAATTTAAATCCCGGCTTCTTCCAAGGCTGGCTAGGCCCAGCTCTTACCTGCCCCAGGTGCGCTTCCAGATGAGGAGGGTAGCTTTGGTCCACACCCAGGTGCTCATGGAAATCCCCGTCCCAAACATGGCAAAGAGATTGATCTTCTCCACCAGCAGGCTGGGGCGGTTCTTGATCTCGCAGTCAGGGATGGGTTTGTTGGTCTGAGTGGCGATTGTCACGTTGGCCTCACACCTGCAGGGGGCAAGAGTGGAGGTGAAACTTGCAGGGGGGGGCAGAATATTATTACGAGATTCTTATGATTATCATTGATTTGTTTGTTGCCCGCCCTCTCCCCTAAGGTCCCAGAGAGGGTTACCAAATTAAAAGCAGCAAGAGTTCATGGGATCGCCTCTCCTGGTCTGCCCCGCAGAGGACCTTAAGGTCCATGAATAATCACAGTTTAGAGGTCCCGGGCCCTAAGGAAGTCAGACTATTCTCCACCAGGGCCAGGGCCTTCTCAGTGATGGCTCCGACATGGTGGAATGCTCTGTCCCATGAGACCAGGGCCCTGCAGGATTTAACCTCCTTCCGCCGGGCTTTCAATTTGAACTTAGCCTGATCTTTTATTCCCCTTCCTTCCCTCCCCCTCCCCCTTTTTATGAAGATTACCCACTCTGGGATCCCACAGCTAATTCTCCCCTGGTCTCCTCGCTGGCCCAAGTAGGACTAACTTAGCCAGCTAGCTAAGTTATCATATAACGTTTATTGGATGATCATCTAACGTTTATTGGATGAATTTTCCCCCTAAATTGATTTTTGAATTCTGAATTCATTGTTATTCACGTTTTATACTGTATTTTATTCTGTTTTTTGTTGCATCAATTAAGTGTTTTAAATTTGTTGTTAGCCACCCTGAGCCTGGTTTTCTGAACTGGGAAGGATGGGGTATAAATAAAAATTTAATATTATTATTATAAAACAACTTACAATAAAAAAAGGAAAGGTAAAGGTAAAGGACCCCTACAGTTAAGTCCAGCCGCAAACGACTCTGGGGTTGCGGTGCTCATCTCGCTTTACTGGCCGAGGGAGCCAGCATACAGCTTCCGGGTCATGTGGCCAGCAGGACTAAGCCGCTTCTGGTGAACCAGAGCAGCGCACGGAAATGCCGTTTACCTCCCCGCTGGAGCGGTACCTATTTATCTACTTGCACTGGTGTGCTTTCGAACTGCTAGGTTGGCAGGAGCAGGGACAGAGCAACGGGAGCTCACCCCAATGCAGGGATTCGAACCGCTGACCTTCTGATCGGCCAGCCCAAGAGGCTCAGTGGTTTAGACCACAGCTGTCAAACATACACCTCAAGTGTTAAAAGCCGGGGTACACAGGGGGAAGGAACCTCAGATCTCCAAACAGCCATCTGAATTTGAACAGATATCAGGAGATTATAGCTGCAAGGTTAAGGTTGCAATCCTAACCACGCTGACCTGGGAGTAAGTGCTACTGGATTCAATAGGACTTTCTTCTGAGTAGATCACCCCGCCTAATAAACGCCCCCCTTAGAAGACACATTTTCTCCTGTGCGAGTGGAGTTGGAATTCTGGGATTATGTGTGAATCCTGTTAAACAGGGGTGGGGAACCTGCGCCCCCCCCCCCGACGGGGAATTACAACTCCCAGCAACCTGTACGGACAATAGTCAAGGGTGATGGGAGTTGTAGTCTAACAGCACAGATTCCCCATCCCTGCAATAAAAAAAAAATGAGAGTACCCCAAATTTAATTCATACTTTAACCAACACATTGGCTAAAGCTCATAAGATCATTCAACAAAGATTTCTTTAAATCTGCAAAGATTATTGATTTGAGTAGAACCCACTACTCAAAGTACCACTTATAGCCTGAAAATGAAGCATCCTATAGGGAAACCCTGCTGCTGTCGAATTGTGATGCTTTCTTCCAGACAATGGTTTGTGTGTAAGAAACTGAGCTCCACTGGGAGGGCGATTGGGCGTGTTATTGTTCTGTTGTTTTGGTTTAAACATTTCCTTGTGTTCTATCCTGTATTTTATTCTGTGAACCACCCTGAGATCTTTCAATGAAGAACGGTATACGAATTTAATAAATAATAAAAAATACACTGTGATTCTGGACGTCGTCGCAGAATCTGGATTTCCTGGTGTACAATTCAAGGTGGGCGTTTTGGTGGACGTGGGTTTGTTCCGCAGATACACCATTTCCCAGGCTTGGCATCAGCATGTGAGCATCTGCCAGGGGTCTTCAGGGCCCCCTTAAATCCCTTATACATCCCTCCGCTCCGATACTCCCCAGTGCTTGACGGCTGGGAGCGTGAGGCGCCATCTTGATTTCCCACAATGCCCCTGGAGTGTTGCTCCATCCCAGCCTTTGCCACCCAGGTGCCTCAGCTCTTGAGCTACGCAGCATGGCGCCCGAAGGTCATCAGGTCGGCTTCTAAGAGATCACCCACAAAAAGAGCCACCCACGAAGGCAGCCAGTGGCCCCCTGCCTGGAACAAGAGGGGAACATGGGTGGGCACCCGCTACTCACAAGACGTACTCCCGGAAGCTCCTCTCCCACTCCGCCTGGTTGAAGAAATCGTAGAAGTGGCACCCAAAGGTGATGAACACAAAGCCAAACGCCAGGAAGCCAAAGATCCCTGCCATGGAGGGAGAAAGAAATTGAGCCCGTCACACGTCCAGCTACTTCAGGGCATGGAGGAGTGCAGATATCCAGAGTGTGGGGGTCAGGTGGGATTGCGATGAGGAATTATGAAATATGGAGCAAGCCACTGTGTCCGCTATGAAAGCCTTGCGTTGACTGGGTTTGATTCATTGACAATAGTTTCTGATCGAATCCCACAGGCCTCTGCATCCCTGCCATTTGCTTTCTAACAGATTGGCGGCTAACAGATTGAGGTTGAATCCTGACAAGACAGAAGTACAGTGGTGCCTCGCAAGACGAAATTAATCCGTTCCGCGAGTCTCTTCGTCTTGCGGTTTTTTCGTCTTGCGAAGCACGGCTATTAGCGGCTTAGCGGCTTTAAGAAAAAGGAAACAAACTCGCAAGAACTCGCAAGATGTTTCGCCTTGCGAAGCAAGCCCATAGGGAAATTTGTCTTGCGGAACGACTCAAAAAACGGAAAACTCTTTCGTCTAGCGAGTTTTTCGTCTTGCGAGGCATTCGTCTTGCGGGGCACCACTGTACTCTTTTTGGGGGGACAGGAGGCAGGCTGGTGTGGGGGACTCCCTTGTCCTCAGTGGGGTAACTGTGCCCCTGAAGGACCAGGTGCGCAGCCTGGGAGTCATTTTGGACTGACAGCTGTCCATGGAGGCGCAGGTCAATTCTGTGTCCAGGGCAGCTGGTCCTTCAGGAGTAATAAATAATAAAATTTTATTTATATCCACCCTCCCCAGCCGAAGCTGGGCTCAGAGCAGCTAACAACAGTAAAAATAACACAGTTTACATAAAATCACAAACAATTAATGTTGTCCCAACTTCCTTTTTCTCTGCAGGAACTGCCCCCCTCCCAAAAAACCCCCACAACCTACAGATCCTGCCATGCAAGTCCGGCCTACTCACCAAGGCGCAACATCGTCTCATTGATCTTGCTAGCGGCTTTTTCGCTCAGGAGACCCGGGTGGTTGCTTTTGATGGAGAACAAGGTCATCACACCTAGGAGGGAAGCGGCAGAATTAATAATAATAATAATAATAATAATAATAATAATAATTTATTATTTATACCCCGCCCATCTGGCTGAGTTTCCCCAGCCACTCTGGGCGGCTCCCAATCAAGTGTTAAAAACTGTACAGCATTAAATATTAAAAAGCACCAGAGAGAACAAATTGAAAAGAGCCCACCTCTGATCAGGAAATAGCCACCGATGATCAACACTAGGCCGATGGGGGCCAGGACAAAACCGGCTCGGTAGCGGTAGTTCTTGTAGCCCACAAAGCAAATGCCGCTCACAGAGTCCCCGTCAACCTGGGAAAGCAAGAGGGAGGGAGGAAAGACAGGTAGAGAAGCCAGAAAGCTTAAAAAAAAACTGGAAACAAGTACAGTGGTGCCTCGCAAGACGAAATTAATCCGTTCCGCGAGTCTCTTCGTCTTGCGGTTTTTTCGTCTTGCAAAGCACGGCTATTAGCGGCTATTAACGGCTATTAACGGCTTAGAGGCTATTAACGGCTTAGCGGCTTTAAGAAAAAGGAAACAAACTTGCAAGAACTCGCAAGACGTTTCATCTTGCGAAGTAAGCCTATAGGGAAATTCGTCAAGCCCATAGGGAAATTTGTCTTGCGGAACGACTCAAAAAACGGAAAACTCTTTCGTCTTGCGCGTTTTTCGTCTTGCGAGGCATTCGTCTTGCGAGGTACCACTGTACAGTCATACCTCAGGTTAGATGCTTCAGGTTGCGTTTTTTCGGGTTTACAGACCGCCGAAACCCGGAAGTACCAGAACGGGTTACTGCCGGGTTTCGGCAGTTGCGCATGAGCAGAAGCGCTAAATTGCGCTTTGCACATGCGCAGAAGCGCTGAATCGCAATCCGCACGTGGGCAGACAGGCCACTGCGGGTTGTGAATACTGCAGGTTGCGAACGTGCATCCCGCACAGATCACGTTCACAACCTGAGTGTCCACCGTACCTAAAACACAACAGCATCTCCGAAACAGCTTTCTGTCCCCTCCTCCCTACAAAGTATTAAGTGTTTTCCTCTCTCCTGTGACACCGGAACTCGTGGCGATTAAATGAAGATGACTGGTCAGAGATTGGGGACACAAAGAACTATTTGAAAAAATATCAAGAATGACCAGAAATTGTTCTTATATGCAACAACAGCGGCGAGGTTATTGTTAGCCCAGGATTGGAAACAACAGCAATTACCAACAGTAGAAGAATGGCGACAGAAGGTAATGGAATGTGCAGAAATAGCTAGATTAACGGGGAAAATTCGACAACAGGGCGATGAAACATTTCAAAAAGAATGGGGAAAATTTATGTCATACATAGGAAGGATAAGGTGAAATAGTGAAACCAGTAGAATTGAAATAAACCTCATAATGTGAAATACAAAGAAAATTTCTGGATAAAGAAAATAATAAAAAGTAAAACGTATAATGTGATTAATCGAACCAGTGGTAGTTTTAAATGAATACAGACAGACAATAAGAATTGTATATACAGGAGGATTTATTTGACTATAGACACTCTATGGAGAAATACAAAAGAAGAACAATAATATACAAAACGGGTGAAGACAATGCAAAAAAATTAGATGTGATATAAAAAGCCGGAAGGAAAGAAGGAAGGAAGTCAGCTCTGGGGAGCAAATAAAAATGTAAAATGTAATACAGTATGTCTATGTGGAGTATGTAAATGAAAATCAACAAAGAATATTATGGGGGGGGAAGTATAGTCATAATAAAAATTATAAAATAATAAAGTAACTTCATTATTTATTGCTAAGTATGATTTATAATTTGTTTATTTATGAAAAGGATTTAATAGTAGTAATTACAATAACAAAATGCAATATCAGAGAGTAAGTTGGAAAACCATCAGTCCAGGAGGTTGGAAGTCTTAGGCTGTTATGGCCAAATGTTTGCTATGCTATATATATATATGTCGGATGTTACGTTTAAAAATACGTGTAAAAACCAAAAAAGTTATGATAAAAAAGAAAAAAGTATTATAGTCAAGCACAGGCAGGATTCGAGATAGGAGCAGCAGCAGCAGAAAAATGATAAAGTAATTATATTAGAGGAGTTTCTGTAATAGATAAAGTGTTTCTACACAGGAGGAAAGGGTTTGAACAAAAGCACTGTGCAGGTGTGAGTGGGAAGTCAATTCATGAATGTGTGAGTAAACCTCTTTTATATATACTGTACACAAGATTGTGTCGTGTCTATTCTTTTTAAGAGGGGTATAAGGGAAATCACCAGGAATATTGAGAAGCTTAAACAAGCTTGCAACAAGCGAACCGCTGTGAGTTTAAAAGGGGAATGTTAAAACTCTGCTAAGTTACAGAACTTGCTAGCGCAAGTTAGGAAGGAGATTAATAAACAATATATCCTCTCCTGCCTCCCTGAACATTCCCACATGAACAACTTAGGGAGTTCTGGGGTCACCTGAACCACCATATTCCAGCTCAGTTGCCAAGATAATTTGCAGGAGTGTCGCTGGAACATTCTCCAGGCTGTCAAGGCTCATTTGACAACAACGTAGGAACTTAAGAAACACCTGTTAGATGAGGCCAAGGGTCCATACCGCCCACCAGATGTCCTAATGGGAAACCCGCAATCAGGATTTGAACCCAAGATCTCTCTCTTCACTCCTGCAGTTTCCAGCCAATGACAAGTATAAAGCACGGCTGCGTCCAACACAATCACTTCCCTGGGATGAGGACAACGCTTTCCCTGGGGAAAATCCAAGCCACACAGCACACCTGCGCAAAAAGGCCATTTTTGAGTGTGTGGGGGGAGGAATCCTGTGGCTTTTGTTGTCATATAAAAATGTCCATAAAAAATGGAATTTAGCAACTAAGCGCACTCTAATGATCTCAAATCAAAGCTTACCTCGTGCACTATCACGCCTTGAATTTTGGAGGAGGGGGGCATTTCTAAGAACTTTCATCAGCAGGCTTTTTAATGGGGAAGCCAAATAGATCATTTCCAGAAACAAAAACCTTTGATAATTCCAAGCAGCCTGATTGGAACAAATGTGAGCTATACTCTCTGCATGCTCTTTTAATAGAGATGAGGTTTGTTTCAATCTTTTTCTACTAGCCTAATGTCTATCACATTATGTATGTATGGAGGTGTGAGCTGGACCATAAAGAAGGCTGATCGCCGAAGAATGGATGCTTTTGAATTCTGGTGCTGGAGGAGACTCTTGAGAGTCCCATGGACTGCAAGAAGATCAAACGCATCCATTCTTAAGGAAATCAGCCCTGAGTGGTCACTGGAAGGACAGATCCTGAAGCTGAGGTTCCAAGACTTTGACCACCTCATGAGAAGAGAAGACTCCCTGGAAAAGACCCTGATGTTGGGAAAGATGGAGGGCACAAGGAGAAGGGGATGACAGAGGACGAGATGGTTGGACAGTGGAACTTCCGGGTTGGCGCCACCGGCAATGGTGGAATTCCTCTGATCGGGAGAAATTTGCCTCGTGGAAATTCAGGTCTGGCCGCCACAGCGAAGGCGGAGACCCACTAAAAATCACAGGCGGGTGAAGCCTGTGAACGTGGGATTCGGCGGGCACCTTTCGTGCCTACCCTACTCGCGGGGAAACCCGGTTTCGGGGATCCGGAGCGACGTGGGGTGAGCGGCGCGGTGCTTCGGATCGACTGCTTCTTCCACGGAGCGAAGCCGCATAGCTGTTGCCGGAGAGCGCTGACTTTTTCCTGTGGACAATTTGATCTTAAAGCAACTACCCGTGAGTAGAGTGAAGAATTGGATTTTTAAACGTCTTAATTTGGCACCGAAACGGGGAGGCTCAAAACAGGAAGTCCACCTCACCTTTTTGTAAATAAGACTGAGGCAAAGAGGTTGCAAGCTAAAGTCTTGGAATGCCTATTGTAAAGGACTAAATTCTCATCGGTAAAAAATATTAAACCCCCCTTGGAAGCAGGAGAAGAGGGGGGAGGCTTTGGATTGTGTATCCCTGCAAGAGTGAGTAAAGGAAGTTAAAATACCACCGTTCCGAACCTGGAAACGGGCTGCTAGTAAGAGCGACGTGTCTTGGAAGGTTCATTGACAGCGAATAGAACGTTCGGTGACAGCTAGCATAAGAGAGATACATTGTTTCCATTGTCTTCGTCTGCACTTAAAAAGGAGTAAAAGTAATGGAAAATTGAAACAACTTTATTGAACTTTATTAAAAAAGGAGGAAAGTAACTGAAAATTGAAACTAACTTTGGATTATTGAAACTGTGTTTAAAAGAGGACATATTGACCGATACAAATACAACTCGCTTTCCCCTAGTGGAAGCTTTTGAAATTGGTTACTTTATAGGAGTTGGGCTAGGGGAATTTCCAGCTGCAAGATAAAAAAAGTGTGAGACTTTGGAATTGACCTTGAATCTCTTAAGTGTTATAGCAAACGGAAAGGAAAAAACAGACGGGATGTCGACAGAGGAGGCCTTAGTGGCTGCATTATTGAAAATAAACGATTCGCTGGAACAACTCCACAAGAAAACAGATGCGATAAATGTGAAATTGGATGTTGCAAATATTGAAATTGATTCAACTGTAGAAAGTTTAAGTAACTTGGGACAAAAGGTGAATACCAATTCAGAAACCACCCAGAAACTGACACAGGAATCTACTTCGATATGGCAAACTGCAGATGAAGTTAGGGGAAAAACCCTTGCTGCTGAATCTAAAATAATACAACTGGAGAGGAGAGTCCCATCCATACAAAGACAACTTGACGAGCATAAGTTGACATTCGTTATGATTGAACTTAGAGAAGAACGGATGAATTTGAGGACCAGAGCCCTATCTGAATTGGAAAAGGAAAGCTTGACAGAGTTTCAGGAGGCAATACTAACATTGGTTGAGAAACAGAGGTATTTGGGGGTTAGTATGACCGCCAAAAATGTGAATCTGCTTAAGGATAACTGTGAAGGATGTTGGATTGAAGAGAAGGGGGATTTGGAAATATGGACAAATCAGAAGTTGTTACTGTTGGGCCGAGTTATTGTGGTGGGGATGAGGGCTGCTGTTTTGCTGGGGATGTTGCTTTTGTTCCAAACATTGCAAGCTTTGGATGGGATGGAGGGTTTCAGGAGGTGGCAGAGGGATGCTGTTTGGCAGGGCAGGAAGCCTCGAGTAAAACTTAAGATATTGATGGATGCCAAAGAAGGAGGTGGACCTGCCCTGCCAGACCTTTAAACTTTGCTGTGAACCATCTGCTTTTTGCTGGTTGAGAGAATGGTTGCTTTTTGAAAACACTGAAGTGTTGGACAATGGCAGATGAAGTTGATGGACTATATGGAATTGGCGGAAATGACTGGCAAGATCCGAGACCAGGATGAAGAGTCGGTGGAAGAAGATTGGAAAAAGTTTAAAGACTATTTATAGAAATATTGTAAAATTAAGGAATGTTAGAAAAATGTTGGAATGAAATTATATGGCTTTAGCAGAAATGTCATAAGGAATTAAGTATAAATAGAATAATAGAAAATTAAAGGAAAAGTATGGCAAGAATGTGTTAAGATAATTATAGAACAGAAAACAGAGTAAGATGGAAAGGAATTGCTGAAACAAATAATAGAAGTGGAATACAGAAAGGGAGGTGGGAGGAGGTCGCTGGAAATAAGTGAATGAAATATAAAATATTGAAAATGTTTGAGGTGTTTTTAAATTGTTTTTGCTTGTTTTTGTTTGTTTTGTTAGTCTGTGTAGCGTTTTTGTATTGTATTTGCATTGTTTTTTCTTCTTTTTTTGTTTGTAGTGTTGTGTTGGAAATGTTAAAAAAGTAATAAATATCATTTAAAAAAAAAAAGAGATGGTGTGACAGTGTTCTCGAAGCTACCAGCATGAGTTTGACCAAACTGCGGGAGGCAGTGGAAGACAGGAGGGCCTGGCGTGCTCTGGTCCAGGGGGTTACGAAGAGGCGGACACGACTAAACAACTAAACAACAACAATGTCTATCACTTAAAATTATGGTTGCCATTTTTATGTAGAAAAGTGATTACCAGTAAATCATCAGTGAATGTCTGGAGCATAACTACTCTGACCTTAGTGGATTTTAAGTGACTTTCCCAGACTGTCGTCGGTTGCATTTTTGTGCTAAAAATATGAAGAGCACACAGCAGAAAGTAGTGAAATAACGTGGTCCGTTCTGTCAGGCACTGAACATTCAAGGCAAAACTTCATGCAACTTTCAAAAGAATCCAGATTTACTATGTAAACCACTTTGGAGTCTCCGTTAGGGGGAAAAGGTGGGATACCAAAAATAATAAATAAATAAAATAAAAGTAAATTTACCTGGGCAACCGCCAAAATGGCAACGGTGAGGACGAAGGGAATGGACCAGGTGACCAGGTGGAAGTAGGAGGTCTTCCCCACCAGCGGTTGGTAGGTGGTCCCCAGCGCCTTGAAGGATGTGTGCCAGGCATAGGTGAGCATGACAAACCAGATTACGCCCGACATCAAGGAATAGTAGACGATGACGAAGATAATCACGCAGGAGAGGGTCTCGTTGGAGCTGCGGGTAAAGGGCATTTTCTTTAAAAAATGTTTAAATATTCTTTCCCCACAAAGCCTGAATCCTTCCTGCTAGGAATTACGGGTAATGAAATTCCCAAAAAAGTCCAGGAGAGTTTTTATGTATGCCACAGGTGCCGCTGGAATTTTAATTGCAAAATTTAGGAAGGAAGAGGATACCCAAATCAGACTGGCAAAATAAATTAAGAGAGTACGCTGAACTGGCAAGACTCTCAGCAAGGCTATGAGATGTTACAGGTGAGAAATTGATCGGAGAGTGGAACATATACAGAGCCTGCGTAGAAGAACACTGTCAAAATATTAACCCATTGGCAGATTTCGATTGAACTTCTGTGCGCAAACAGGATCGTTTTAGAAAATTTAAAGTAAGTTAAACAACAGGGAGAAAATACAAGTTAAGCGCGTATTCAAGGGATTTATTTTGAGAACAGAATGGTGTACAAAGCAAGTCTCAATTAAGGAAGTACCGTATTTTTCGCTCCATAAGACACATTTTTTCTTCTTAAAAACTACGGGGAAATGTCTGTGCGTCTTATGGAGCGAATGCGTGGTCCCTGGAGCCAAATTGCCCAGGGGTGAAAAGCAGATTGTGCGGGTTTTTTTAGAAAGAGGGAAGGGGGTGTTGAAACAAAGCCGCTGATCATTTGCAGATGGGGAGAGAGATAAGAGACGCTAGAGATAAAGGAGGCTGCCTGGGAGGGGGGAGGTAAAGACAGCAAACTTGCAAAGGGGTAAACAGGAAGACTAAAGCAATAAGGAAAGAAATTAGAAGAAAAGGAGGAGCAAAAAACTGCTCCGAGGGAAGGGAGTGTTGAAAGGCAGCAGGTGATCAGTAAGCGATCAGGAGGGAGATAAGGGACGCTAGAGATAAAGGAGGCTGCCTAGGAGGGGGAAGGTAAAAGCCCATGGATCCTCAGGATTTTTGCATTGGGTCACCCCAAATTCACCATCACCAGATCACATAGCATGTCCATGGCTACAGCCTGCACCAAAAAAATCATGCACCCACTGTTTCGTGGGGCTGCAATGGCGCAAAAATGTGGTTACAAAGCACGGATCCACATGAATCCTCAGATAATGACTGTTTATTTTTACGCTCATCTTTATTTTGTCTTTAACAAATATCTTTTCCCAGTAGTGATGTATGGAAATGAGAGCTGGACCATAAAGAAGGCTGATCGCTGAAGAATGGATGCTTTTGAATTCTGGTGCTGGAGTAGACTCTTGAGAGTCCCATGGACTGCAAGAAGATCAAACCGATCCATTCTGAAGGAAATCAGCCCTGTGTGCTTACTGGAAGGACAGATCCTGAAGCTGAGGCTCCAAGACTTTGGCCACCTCATGAGAAGAGAAGACTCCCTGGAAGAGACCCTGATGTTGGGAAAGATGGAGGGCACAAGGAGAAGGGGACGACAGAGGACGAGATGGTGAGACAGTGGTCTTGAAGCTACCAGCATGAGTTTGACCAAACTGCGGGAGGCAGTGGAAGACAGGAGGGCCTGGCATGCTCTGGTCCATGGGGTCACAAAGAGTCAAACACGACTAAACGACTAAACAACAAATATCTTTGTTATACAGTTTTCAACTAATAAATAAAGCATTTAAAAAGGCCAACAACAACAAAAAAGATAAGAGGAAAGGAAGATCTGCCGGCTGCCACCACCGGAAGGAAAAGGGCACGTAGCCGAGCCTCTCCAAAGCCCTCCACACCATCCCATAACAGCCCAGCTGCACCCAAGCAGCTTTGGCCAACCTGGTGCCCCCCAGATGCTCTCATCAGTTTTTGACATTTTGGATTACAATTCCCATCAGCACCAGAGGACACCAAACTGGGAGCAGCAGCTAATGTTGCAGAAGATGGAATCGGGATGCAAGTTGACCTTATGAGATGGGAGAACCTGGCCCAGAACAAACGTCAACGGAGACTTGCTGTCATTTAAATTCTACTCAATATTGATCCAGGGTAGATTCCAATGTATAGTTAGCAGAGTAACAACTTAAACAGGTTGCAGGATTCCCCAAAAAATAGATCAGCAGAGGTAATTATATTTTATCCAGCAGAGCTTTAAAGGTAAAGGGACTCCTGACCATTAGATCCAGTCGTGACCGACTCTGGGGTTGCCGCGCTCATCTCGCTTTACTGGCCGAGGGAGCTGGTGTACAGCTTCCGGGTCATGTGGCCAGCACGACTAAGCCGCTTCTGGCGAATCAGAGCAGCGCACGGAAACGCCGTTTACCTTCCCACCAGAGCGGTACCTATTTATCTACTTGCACTTTGACGTGCTATCGAACTGCTAGGTGGGCAGGAGCAGGGACCGAGCAACGGGAGCTCACCCCCTCGGCGGGATTCAAACCGCCAACCTTCTGATCGGCTCTGTGGTTTAACCCACAGTGCCACCAGCATCCCTCCAGGAGAGCTTTTCTTTACGGCAAATGAGCATAATGGTCACATATCCAATACATTCAGGACTGGCACTGTCCATAAGAAATCCATAAATAAGAAATCCAGTTGCAGCAGACTTAACTTAAACTTATAATAACTTATAATAAGGCTCTAAATAAATTAAAAAATTGTCCAGTAGCACCTTAGAGACCAACTAGGTTTGTTCTGGGTATAAACTTTCTTGTGCATGCACACTTCTTCAGATACTTAGATATATAATAAGACTAAACCTTAACACAAAGCATACTATATACAGAAGACCACACTAGAAGGAACAGAGTTAGAAAGAGAAACTGAAACCTAGGTTCCTTCTTTTATAGTCAGCATGACCTAGACCAGGGGTCAGCAACCTTTTTCAGCTGTGAGCTGGTCCACTGTCCCTCTGACCATGTGGTGGGCCGGACTATATTTTGGGGGGCGGGGAATGAACGAATTCCTGTGCCCCACAAATAACCCAGAGATGCATTTTAAATAAAAGGACACAATCTACTCATGTAAAAAACACGCTGATTTGCAGACTGTCCTCGGGCTGGATTTATAATAAATAATAATAATTTTTTTAAAAAAAATTATTTATACCCCGCCCTTCCCAGTTCAGAAAACCGGGCTCAGGGCGGCTACCAACAAATTTAAAACACTTACTTGACGTAACAAAAAACAGCATAAAATACAGTATAAAACGTGAATAACAATAAGTTCAGAATTCAAAAATCAATTTGGGAGAAAATCCTTCCAATAAAGATTTAGAAGGCGATTGGGCTGCATCCGGCCCCCAGGCCTTAGGTTGCCTACCCCTGACCTAGACAGAAAGAGATAACAGGACCAGTTTAAGCCAGCTGCACTCAGCTTCTCCAGCATCTTAAAAAGCAGAGACATCACCTTGCCAACAAAGGTCCGTATAGTTAAAGCTCTGGTTTCCCCAGTTGTGATGTATGGAAGCGAGAGCTGGACCATAAAGAAGGCTGATCGCCGAAGAATGGATGCTTTTGAATTCTGGTGCTGGAGGAGACTCTGGAGAGTCCCATGGACTGCAAGAAGATCCAACCTCTCCATTCTGAAGGAAATCAGCCCTGAGTGCTCACTGGAAGGACAGATCCTGAAGCTGAGGCTCCAATACTTTGGCCACCTCATGAGAAGAGAAGACTCCCTGGAAAAGACCCTGATGCTGGGAAAGATGGAGGGCACAAGGAGAAGGGGACGACAGAGGACAAGATGGTGGGACAGTGTTCTCAAAGCTATCAGCATGAGTTTGACCAAACTGTGGGAGGCAGTGGAAGACAGGAGTGCCTGGTGTGCTCTGGTCCAGGGGGTCATGAAGAGTCGGACACGACTAAATGACTAAACAACAACAACACTCAGCTTCTCAGAAGGAATAACCCAAACACCACAAACCTTCTGCCTGTTTCTTTCACGCAGAAAAGCTCCAGAACCATCTCGAATTAGTTAGAAGAGGAAAGATCTCTTAACACATCAGATCAAGACTTTCTGTACTGAGATGTGCAAACTGGTACTTACGTGGGTTCCCCCAATCGCATGGTCCCGTCGGCACGGCACACGATTTCGCTGCGGGCTCCATCCATGAACTGCGCCAGCCAGCCGATGCTTCCCATGAAGAAGCAGGCGTTGACGTAGAAGAGGATGACCGCCGGGTACCGGTTCGAATTCTTCCAGTCAGCAAGGAATGTGGCCTGCAGACAGCAGGGAGTTCAATCCTGATCAGTTTGCCTACACGCATCTGTTCCCCGCTGGAGACGCCCAGCCAACACAGAATGGATTTGATGATCTACATGGGCTCCCAGGATGTTTCCGAACACAATTCAAAGTGTCGGCACTGACCTTGAACGTTTGCCTAGGCCAACTCGGTCCTCCAGATGCTTTGGGACTACAACTCCCATCATCCCTAGCTAACAGGGATGGTGGGAATTGTAGTCCCAAAACGCTGGGTGGGCTGAGTTTGCCTACGCCTGCCCTAAGCTGCCCTGTTTACCTGAAGGAGCATCTCCACCCCCATCGTTCAGCCCGGACACGGAGGTCCAACTCCGAGGGCAAACACCCACCTTGCAAGGTGTTAAGGGCTTTACAGGTTGACGTCAGGACATTGAAAGGGGCTCAGTAACTTATTGAGGGCCTTCTTGGTGGTGGCACCCGCCCTGTGGAACTCCCTCCCACCAGATGTCAAAGAGAAAAATATCAGACTTTTAAAAGACACCAGCTCCATCTGATATGCAGGATGAGACCCTCCCTGCCCGCAGACTTTCTTGCCAGAGTGGTGCATGCTCTGGTTATCTCCCGCTTGGACTACTGCAATGCACTCTACGTGGGGCTACCTTTGAAGGTGACCCGGAAACTACAACTAATCCGGAATGCGGCAGCTAGACTGGTGACTGGGAGTGGCTGCCGGGACCATATAACACTGGTCTTCAAAGACCTACATTGGCTCCCAGTACATTTCTGAGCACAATTCAAAGCGTTGGTGCTGACCTTGAAAGCCCTAAACGGCCTCGGTCCAGTAGACCTGAAGGAGCGTCTCCACCCCCATCTCTCAGCCTGGACACTGAGGTCCAGCGTCGAGGGCCTTATGGTGGTTGCCTCGCTACAAGAAGCCAAGCTACGGGGAACCATGCAGAGGGCCTTCTTGGTAGTGGCACCCTCCCACCAGATGTCAAAGAGAAAAATAACTACCAAACTTTTAGAAGACATCTGAAGGCAGCCCTGTTTAGGGAAGCTTTTAATGTTTAATAGACTACTGTGTTTTAATATTCTGTTGGAAGCCGTCTAGAGTGGCTGGGGAAACCCAGCCAGATGGGCGGACTATAAGTAATAAATTATCATCATTATTATTATTATTATTGGGAGCCAGTGCAGATCTCGCAATGATTGCTGCTACATGACGGAAGTCCGGTCGATATTATTGCGGCTGCGTTCTGCGCTAGCCGCAGTGTCTGGACCGTCTCCAAGGGCAGCCCCAAGGACAGTGTGCACTGCAGTAGTCTATGCTCACCAAGGTGAAGAAGGTGCAGAAAATGGTGACGGAGCTGAAGGAGGCGATGTAGACGTGCATTTCACGGTGCTCCTTCTCAGTGAAAAGGGGGTTCTGGCACTGGATGCCGCAGCCTTCGACGTCCTCGTACCAACTCTTGGGGTTGTCCGTCCGGACCAGGGGGGCCTCACACTGCCCTGAGCTGTTGAATTTGATGTTCTGGACCTCATTCTGTGCAGTGGAAACAGTGGAAACAGAAATGGGATTAACTGTGGACTACAGTTTTGTGTGCAAAAATGGTATCACCTGTAAGGTTATATCATATTACATAATCTGGAAGTAAGAATTGTTGGAGGAAATGTGGAGTGATGGGAACATACAGTCATATGTGCTGGGACTGTCCATTAGTTAATGAAGTCTGCAAACAGACTGGTATAGAAATATCAGGAATTGTGGGTAGGAAGGTGGAAATATCTAAATTAATGGTTCTTATTAGCCTGAGTAGCACCAAGTTAGAAACAAAAGAGGAATGTATATGAGTAAAATTGATGGTAATTGCAGCCAGACAGGTTATAGCGAGTAATTGGGAAAATGCAAAAGAGCTAGGGGTGAACCAATGGAGGGGAAAATATTATAATCTTAGAATATCTAACTGTGAAGATAGATAAAATGAAAGGGTTTAAGGTCAGTGAGAAGGAGGAGGATTGCTTTGAGAAGATATTGAATTATTTGGGCAGGTTTGAACAATTTGGGGCAATTAAAACGTTGAAAGTTAAACAAACCTTGTGGAAGGAGGAGTGTATATAGAATTGTACATATGGTTGATTTGAATACGTTATTATTGATTATGTATACCCAACGTATCAGCCGCTTGGGGGGGGTTCACTGTTTGTTTTCAATGTTTACGTTTTGGTTGTTGGTAAAAATAATTTTTTTTAAAACAAAACAAAACAAAACTGTGGACTATGGCAGAGGTTTTTTAACTGTGGCGGCCCAGAAATCTCCACGTGGTGGCAATTGCCAGTAGCAAAACGCTGACCTCGATCACCCCAGATGTTCTGGAGCACATTTTCCACTGAGAAATGAATGGGCAGAACTGCAGAACAGGAGCTTTCTGTCTCAGCTGATCTCCCTGTTAGGATATACCATATTTTTTGCTCTATAAGACTCACTTTTTCCCTCCTAAAAAGTAAGGGGAAATGTGTGTGCGTCTTATGGGGTGAATGCAGGCTGTGCAGCTATCCCAGAAGCCAGAACAGCAAGAGGGATTGCTGCTTTCGCTGTGCAGTGATCCCTCTTGTTGTTCTGGCTTCTGAGATTCAGAATATTTTTTTTCTTGTTTTCCTCCTCCAAAAACTAGGTGCGTCTTATGGTCTGGTGCGTCTTATAGAGCAAAAAATACGGTAGTTCCATCCCACCTTAAAAGGGTACAGGCAGGACTGTGTGTGTCACATGCCTGTTTACCTCCAGCAGAGTCTGCTGGGAACTTCCGCTTGTATATAGCTTTTGGGTTACTGCTGTTTTGCTGGAGACGAAGGGAAGCAGACATGTTTTCCTCTGTTCCCTGACCTGGCCACAGTGATCCATGCAATGGTCACCTTCAGGCTTGACTACTGTAATTCGCTCTACGCAGGGCTGCCCTTGAAGCTGTCCCAGAAACTCCAGCGGGTGCAGAATGCTGCAGCGAAGCTCCTCACGGGGTCCCTGCCATGGGAGCATATTCACCCAGTGCTTTTTCAGCTGCACTGGCTCCCGGTGGAGTACAGGGTCAGATTTAAGGTGCTGCTTTTGAGCTTTAAAGCCCTTCACGGCCTAGGACCCTCGTACCTACGGGACCGCCTCTCCTGGTATGCCCCATGGAGAGCCTCAAGGTCCATATATAGCAACACCCTAGTGGTCCCGAGTCCTAAGGAAGTCAGATTAGCCTCAACCAGAGCCAGGGCCTTCTCAGTGATGGCTCTGGCCTGGTGGAACGCTCTGTCTCATGAGACCAGGGCCCTGTGGGATCTGATTTCTTTCCGCAGGGCCTGTAAGACAGAGTTGTTCCGCCTGTCCTTTGGCTTAGAATCAGTTTGATCCCCTCCTCCTCTTTCTTTTTCCTTTCTCCTCCTTTGAAGAGATTGCTCCCTAATTGTTTTAATGTTGTATCTTAATCTTTTAAATTGTATTTTAATCAACTTGGTTTTATTATCGGTTGTTAGCTGCCCTGAGCCCGGTCTTGGCTGGGGAGGGCGGAGTATAAATAAAAATTATTATTATTATTATTATTATTATTTTCATCTGAGGCTCATGTCGCTGTTTGATGCTGTACCAAGGGAGACCGGCTGCCGGCCGATGGCTGGAGCCAGCCTGATGCCTGCCTGATGCCCCCGTCTTCCTGGCAGTATCCCAACTCGCCCCCCCCGACTGCAGCTCCCCCTACAGGACGTCCCAGTGCCAGCCCCCACACCCCCTGCTCTCCTACCGGGCAGCCTTCAGGAAAGCGGTCCGTGGTGCACTTGAGGAAGTCCGGCCAGCCCCGCTCTCGTTCCACGATGGTGCAAGGTCCCCGGGTGGCTTGGCAGAGGGTCTGGCTGGGAAGCTCAACTTGGCCATCCTCACACTTTGGCATGTACACGGCGCAGAGGAGGGGCTGGATCACGTCCCAGCAGCGGGGGGCATTTCGTAAACCTTGAAATAAAAAAGAGAGAGAGACAGGAGTCAATGATCCCTCGACATCTGTTATTGGCAATTCCTGCCCCCTTAACAAATATATAAAAGTTTCTTTCTCCAGAGTGCATGGGGGCCTGGAACCTGCTACTACTACTACTACTACTACTACTACTACAACAACAACAACAACAACAAAACAACAATAATAATAAACAACAACAACAACAACAATAATAATAATAATAATATATTATTTATACCCCAACCGCCAACAAAGGTCCGTATAGTTAAAGCTATGGTTTTCCCAGTAGTGATGTATGGAAGTGAGAGCTGGACCATAAAGAAGGCTGATGGCCGAAGAATGGATGCTTTTGAATTCTGGTGCTGGAGGAGACTCTTGAGAGTCCCATGGACTGCAAGAAGATCAAACCGATCCATTCTGAAGGAAATCAGCCCTGAGTGCTCACTGGAAGGACAGATCCTGAAGCTGAGGCTCCAAGACTTTGGCCACCTCATGAGAAGAGAAGACTCCCTGGAAAAGACCCTGATGTTGGGAAAGATGGAGGGCACAAGGAGAAGGGGACGACAGAGGACGAGATGGTGGGACAGTGTTCTCGAAGCTACCAGCATGAGTTTGACCAAACTGCGGGAGGCAGTGGAAGACGGGAGTGCCTGGCGTGCTCTGGTCCAAGGGGTCACGAAGAGTCGGACATGACTAAACGACTAAAAACAACAACACCCCGCCCATCTGGCAGCTTCCAACAGATTAAAATACAATAATCTATTAAACATTAAAAGCTTCCCTGAACAGGGCTGCCTTCAGATGTCTTCTAAAAGTCTGGTAGTTGTTTTTCTCTTTGACATCTGGTGGGACGGCGTTCCACAGGGTGGGCGCCACCACCGAGAAGGCCCTCTGCCTGGTTCCCTGTAACTTGCTAAAATGCACGTGCTTTAAAAGTTATAAAAGAAACAAAGCGTTGGCAAGCTAGCTGACCGGCTACTCAAAACACTGTGAGCATTTGAACACAGAAAAGTTGCAGGTCCACCGATGGCCAAGATCCAAGGTAGCCGAGGCTGTAAGCCGTTGGGCAAGAGCGTAACTTAAGAGGCACCTTGGTCCAAGAAGGATATCGACAAACTGGGAGGTGTGCAGAGGGCGACCCAGATGATCAAGGGTCTGGAAACCAAGCCTGATGAGGAACAGTTGAAGGAGCGGTGTAAATTTAGCCTGGAAAAGAGGAGACTGAGAGGGAATATGAGAGCCATCTTCCAATATTTTAAGGGCTGTCCCTTGGAAGATGGAGCAAGCTTGATTTCTCCTGCTCCAGAGAGTAGGACCAATGGCTTCAAGTTACAAGAAAGGAGCTGTTCAACAGTGGAATGGATAATAATAACAACAACAACAACAACAACAACAACAACAATTTATTATTTATACACTGCCCATCATAAGGGAGCTGTTCCTGGAGGAAGAACTGTGAGGGGAGAGACTCCATCAGGCAAGGCCTCCTTCCACCTGCCTTGCTCTACCCTCTGTTTCTCAATGTGTATTATATTGTTTTATGTACTGTGGCTTGCCGTTGTTTTATTGATTATAGTTTAGATATTATTGTAACTGTTGAGTGGATTTCTGTTTAACTTTTATATGTTGATATTATTATTTTATGCTATTCTAATGATTGTTGAATGTTACTTTTTGATGGAGGTTGCCTATTTTAAAGTTATGTTTTATTATCACATTTTTGTATTGCATTAAATTGTTATAAGATGTACATTTTTGGTTTCTTCAGCTTGTAAACCGCTTTGAGTATTATAAGATAGAAAGGCGGTATACAAATTAAAAATGAGGATGATGATGATGGGTTTCCCCAGCCACTCTGGGCGGCCTCCAACAGACTATTAAAATACAATAATCTATTAAACATTAAACATGACCTTGGAAGGTGGTAATCTTTCCTTCACTGGACGTTTTCAAACATAGAGGGCATGACCAGAATAACAGCTGCCCAAGTACTTGCAGAGAGAGAGACAGATGTTATATCTGTATGGTATCAACAGGAAATTATCGGCTTATTTTGTGCCCCTTCCATGACCGGATCCTTTTTCTGCCTCTTGAGAAAAAGATCAATAGAAGCAGAAAACAAACAGCAAAACGCAACCCATTTGCAGAGATGTTCCACGTAAGAGGAAACAGCTTAAGTGTTCATTGAAACTTTCGCAATACATGCCCTTTCAAAAGTCATTTGGGGAGACTTACGATGTTCCCTGTTCTGTTCCGTAAATACTACAGTTGAACCATCATTTCAAGGCTGCCATGCCAATTTTGAAGTAGGAATGTTCAAAACATCTCACCTCGAGATGTCTAAGGGCAGAAACTGAACACAGCTGATCTCTTTGTGCCAGAAGGTGAGCCTGTGATGAGACATGACTACATCCACAAGTTGTGTCTGGGACTTTTTGACTCCTTGGAGGAGGGACTGGTATATTTTGGAAGTAGGAGGAAGGGCCTGGAATTATGCAAATATGTCTGGGAAACAGAAATCTTGAAATTGAAGAGAGACCAAAGCCTAGGTCCAGTATATCTGAAGGAGCGTCTCCACCCCCATCGTTCTACCCGGACACTGAGGTCCAGCTCCGAGGCCCTTCTGGCGGTTCCCTCACTGAGAGAAGCCAAGTTACAGGGAACCAGGCAGAGGGCCTTCTTGGTGCTGGCGCCCGCCCTGTGTAAATTAAATACAGGGATGCAGGTAGCACTGTGGGTTAAACCACTGAGCCTAGGACTTGCCAATCAGAAGGTTGGCAGTTCAAATTCCCGCGACGGGGTGAGCTCCCGTTGCTCAGTCCCTGCTCCTGCCAACCTAGCAGTTCGAAAGCACATCAAAGTACTAGTAGATAAATAGGTCCCACTCCGGCGGGAAGGTAAATGGTGTTTCCATGTGCTGCTCTGGTCCCCAGAAGCAGCTTGGTCATGCTGGCCACATGACCCAGAAGCTGTCTGTGGACAAATGCCAGCTCCCGTCCCTTTACCTAAATTAAATACAGTGGACGCTCGGGTTGCAAACGTGATCTGTGCGAGATGCACGTCCACAACCCGCAGTGTCCGCAAACAGCAGCGGTGCGTCTGCGCACACTTGGGTTGCAATTTGGCACTTCACCACGACAAGGGCGCTTGCCTGGTCCCTTTACCTTTTCTATCTATCTATCTATATATATATATGAAACACCATTCAGAAAACCTGCAAACAGCCTGTTCAGCCCCCGCCTGCCACTTTTTGTGGCGTTCTGGTGTCCCTTCTAGGGACGCAGGTGGCGCTGTGGGTTAAACCACAGAATCAAGGACTTGCTGATCAGAAGGTCGGCGGTTCGAATCCCCGCGACGGGGTGAGCTCCCGTTGCTCGGTCCCTGCTCCTGCCAACCTAGCAGTTCGAAAGGACGTCAAAGTGCAAGTAGATAAATAGGTACCGCTCCGGCGGGAAGCTAAACGGTGTTTCCGTGCGCTGCTCTGGTTCGCCAGAAGCGGCTTAGTCATGCTGGCCACATGACCTGGGAAAACTGTCTGCAGACAAACGCCGGCTCCCTTGGCCAGTAAAGCAAGATAAGCGCCGCAACCCCAGAGTCAGCCACGACTGGACGTAATGGTCAGGGGTCCCTTTACCTGTATCCCTTCCATGTTTGGTGCAATGCATGCCTGCGAGGCCTATACTGAATGCAAATAAAGGGGTGGGGGTTGTCTGTACAATGCCGTTTTTGAGGTGAGGCAACCAGAATGCCAGCCGGCTGTGCATATCACAAACTACTGCATTTTTCAGCGAGGCCTGCCCAAAAGCAGCTTCGCCATGCCGTTTTTAAGAGGCACAAACTTTCCCAACCTGGTGCCCTCCACTTACTTAAGACACCCATTCGTTCCACCCAGTACAGTCCAGACATTAAAATGTGAGCAGAAAACGCTTAAGGCAAAGCACCGGGCAGCTGTGGAATAGCAGGAATAAAGTGCCAGCTCCACCTCTTCCAAGTGGTGTAGTGGTTAGAGCATCGCACTAGGACCTGGGGGACCAGGGTTCAAATCCTGACACTCGGACAAAAAGCTCACCGAGTGTGACTTTGGGGCCCAGTCACCACCTCTCAGTTGAGCCTACTTCACAGGGGTGTTCTGAGGATTAAATGAGGAAAACGATGTTTTCCCTGGAGAAAACAATGGGATGTAAAGCAACAAACAAGCAAGTCAACAAAGCTTGCACACTGCAGATGTCTTGGACTCCAGTTCCCATCAGCCCAAGCCACTGTGGTCAACCTGATGGAAGCCGTAGTCCGCAGTGGGGAAGGCCAAGATATATCCTACACAGAGAGCACATCTCTCCATTGGCTTGGAATCAACTTGATCCCCTCCCCCTCTTTCCTCTTTCCTTTCTCCTTCTGTGATGGAACTCCTATTTGGGGACTTCCCTGGCTTTTTCCTGGCCCACGTAGGACCAGTCTGGATAGTTGGCCTTGGTGAAGATTTGACGTTTTCATCCCCAAAAAGTTTTTGATTTGAGTTTCTACTGAAATGAGGCTGCATTTTAATGTTGTATTTTAATCTTGTTTTTAAGTTGTATTTTAATCAATTGTTTTTATACCTGGTGTTAGCTGCCCTGAACCCTGGGGAGGGCGGGGTATAAATATAATCATCATCATCATCATCATCATCTTCATCTGTGTAGGAAACCTTACCTTTCCCGCCCCGACCTGGCCACAATGATCCATGCAATGGTCACCTCCAGGCTTGACTACTGTAATTCGCTCTACGTGGGGCTGCCCTTGAAGCTGTCCCAGAAACTCCAGCGGGTGCAGAATGCTGCAGCGAGGCTCCTCACGGGGTCTCTGCCATGGGAGCATATTCACCCAGTGTTTTTTCAGCTGCACTGACTCCCAGTGGAGTACAGGGTCAGGTTCAAGGTGCTGGTTTTGACCTTTAAAGCCCTTCACGGCCTAGGACCCTCGTACCTACGGGACCGCCTCTCCTGGTATGCCCCACGGAGAGCCTCAAGGTCCATATATAGCAACACCCTAGAGGTCCCGGAAGTCAGATTAGCCTCAGCCAGAGCCAGGGCCTTCTCAACACTGGCTCCTGCCTGGTGGAACACTCTGTCTCTTGAGACCAGGGCCCTGCGGGATCTGACATCTTTCTGCAGGGCCTGTAAGACAGAGTTGTTCCACCTGGCCTTTGGCTTAGAATCAGTTTGATTCCCTCCCCCTCTTTCTTTTCCTTTCTTCTCCAATGAAGAGATTGCTCCCTAATTGTTTTAATGTTGTATCTTAATCTTTTAAATTGCATTTTAATCAGCTTGTTTTTATTATTAGTTGTTAGCCGCCCTGAGCCCAGCCTTGGCTGGGGAGGGCGGGGTATAAATAAATTATTATTATTATTATTATTATTATTATTATTATTATTATTATCTGTGTAGGAAACCTGCACATTGTTTCATAGGCCTGAGATTGCTGCCTGCAGATTATTTCCAACCTTGTGATATATGCCCACTACCTTGATGGATGCCCTTCTTACCTTTCTGCACATCACCCCTGGCGGGTGTCCAGCCTGCTGTGCTGGGAGGGAGGTCAGACCCTCCCAGAGAGCAATATGCGTGCCCTACAAATCCCTTCGCAGGCCTGAATCACCCCCTGCAGACCCTACTATGCGTGGGGCCTTGGGACGTGCGCTCTGCCCATGCTCAGAGGCCCTCTTGCTGCTTGGGAAGCAAGATTTATTTACCTCCATCTCCTGCATGGGTACCTGCTCCCCAGACTCTGCCTCTTCCTTCCACGGCCCCCACCCCTTCCCAGCTCCCCAGGGGGGCTCTTTCTTGGGCCTGGGGTTGCCACCTGTCCTGCATAATGCAGGATTGTCCCGTATTTCAATGTCCGCGGCTACGTCCTGCATTGGCACAGTTTTGCCCTTTATTTCCTAGCACAATTCAAAGTGTTGGTGCTGACCTTGAAAGCCCTAAACGACCCTGTATCCCTGAAGGAGCGTCTCCACCCCCATCGTTCTACCCAGACACTGAGGTCCAGCGCCGAGGGCCTTCTGGCGTTTCCCTCCCTGCGAGAAGCAAGGTTACAGGGAACCAGGCACAGGGCCTTCTCGGTGGTGGCGCCCTCCCTGTGGAACACCCTCCCCCCTGATGTCAAAGAGAAAAACAACTACCTGACATTCAGAAGACATCTGAAGGCAGCCCTGTTCAGGGAAGTTTTTAATGTGCGACATCTTAGTGTATTTTTGGTCTTCGTTGGAAGCTGCCCAGAGTGGCTGGGGAAACCCAGCCAGATGGGCGGGGTATAAATAATAAATTATTATTATAAAAAATTATTATTATTTCAGGTGCCTTCCGCCTTCCTCCCTCTTTGCCAAGCTAGGGACCCTCTCCAAATGCATGTGCTTGAAAGGATGTGTGGAAGGTCTTCCACAGAGGTCTTCCAGCTATGGGTTGCCACACGCAGGCAGATGTACCAACTCATGTATAAAGGTAAAGGTACCCCTGCCCGTATGGGCCAGTCTCGCCAGACTCTGGGGTTGGGCGCTCATCTCACTCTAGAGGCCGGGAGCCAGCGCTGTCCGCAGACACTTCCGGGTCACGTGGCCAGCGTGACGAAGCTGCAACTGGCAAGCCAGCGCAGCACACGGAATGCCGTTTACCTTCCCGCTAGTAAGCGGTCCCTATTTATCTACAGTGGTGCCCCGCAAGACGAACGCCTCGCAAGACGGAAAACCCGCTAGACGAAAGGGTTTTCCGTTTTGGAGGCGCTTCGCAAAACGAATTTCCCTATGGGCTTGCTTCGCACGACGACAGCCCATAGGAAATCTCAGGGACAGCGGGGAAGCGCAGCGCGTCTTCCCCACTGTCCTCGGACCTCCTCCGAAGCCTGGCGGCGGGGCGGGGACACCTCCTCCCGCCGCCGCCGGGCTCGGAAGGCTCCTCCGAGCCGGGCGGGCGGGGAGGGAACACCTGCCGCCGCCGCCCGGCTCGGGCGGTGCTCCGAGCCGGGCGGGGAGGGAACACCTGCCGCCGCCGCCCGGCTCGGAGCGGTGCTCCGAGGCCGGGCGGGGAGGGAAGACCTCCCGCCTCCGCCCGGCCCGGACGGTGCTCCGAGCCGGGCGGTGGGGAGGAAGACCTCCCCGCCGCCCGGCTCGGGCGGTGCTCCCGGGCCGGGCGGGGAGGGAACACCTGCCGCCGCCGCCCGGCCCGGAGCGGTGCTCCGAGGCCGGGCGGGGGGAGGAACACCTGCCGCCGCCGCCCGGCTCGGAGCGGTGCTCCGAGCCGGGCGGGGAGGGAACACCTGCCGCCGCCGCCCGGCCGGGCGGTGCTCCGAGGCCGGGCGGGGGGAGGGAAGACCTCCCGCCTCCGCCCGGCTCGGAGCGGTGCTCCGAAGCCGGGCGGTGGGGAGGAAGACCTCCCCGCCGCCCGGCCCGGAGCGGTGCTCCGAGCCGGGCGGGGGAGGGACACCTGCCGCCGCCGCCCGGCCGGACGGTGCTCCGAGCCGGGCGGGGGGAGGGAAGACCTCCCGCCTCTGCCCGGCCGGAACGGTGCTCCGAGCCGGGCGGTGGGGAGGAAGACCTCCCCCGCCGCCCGGCTCGGGCGGTGCTCCGAAGCCGGGCGGGGAGGGAACACCTCCCGCCGCCGCCCGGCCGGGACGGTGCTCCGAGCCGGGCGGGGAGGGAACACCTGCCGCCGCCGCCCGGCCCGGGCGGTGCTCCGAGCCGGGCGGGGGAGGGAACACCTGCCGCCGCCGCCCGGCCCGGAGCGGTGCTCCGAGCCGGGCGGGGAGGGAAGACCTCCGCCTCCGCCCGGCTCGAGCGGTGCTCCGAGCCGGGCGGTGGGGAGGAAGACCTCCCCGCCGCCCGGCCGGGCGGTGCTCCGAGCCGGGCGGGGGAGGGAACACCTCCCGCCGCCGCCCGGCCGGAGCGGTGCTCCGAGCCGGGCGGGGGAGGGAAGACCTCCCGCCGCCGCCCGGCCCGGAGCGGTGCTCCGAAGCCGGGCGGGGGAGGGAAGACCTTCTGAAGGCGGGCGGGGGCGAAGTCTTTGCTCCCCCTGCCTGCCTGTCCCGGAGGGCTTTGAAGGCGGGGAGCAAAGACTTTCGCCCCCGCCCGCCTTCAGAAGAGGTCCAGGACCTCTTCTGAAGGCTGGCGGGGGCAAAGTCTTTGTCCCCCTGCCTGCCTTCCCAGGGGCTTTTAAATTGCCCCGGACAGCGGAGAAGTCCTCCGCTGTCCCGGGGTGATTTTAAATGCCGCCCGCCAGCATTTTAAGATCGCCCCGACAGCGGAGAACTCCTCCGCAGTCCCGCGGTATTAAAAATTGCTGGGGGTGGGAAGAAAAGCCCTTGCCCCCCCCCAGCCTTCAGAAGAGGTCCGGGGACAGACTGTCCCCGGACCTGGTCTGAAGGCGGTTTCCCTAGGAACGCATTAAGTGATTTTCAATGCATTCCTATGGGAAACCGTGCATCGCAAGACGAAAAACTCGCAAGACGAAGAGACTTGCGGAACGAATTAATTTCGTCTTGCGAGGCACCACTGTACTTGCACCCAGGGGTGCTTTCGAACTGCTAGGGTGGCAGGCGCTGGGACCGAGCAACGGGAGCGCAACCTGCTGCAGGGATTCGATCCACCGACCATGCCATCGGCAAGTCCTAGGCGCTGTGGTTTTACCCACAGCGCCACCCGCGTCCCATGTGTCTGTGTGGCTAATTCTAGAGGGGCCATCCTGGAAGGGGGCAAAAGATCGCAATGGATTGCTCTAAAGTCACTACAACACCAGATTTTGGGGGTGAGGGAATCATCCCCCAACTGCAGCATCCTGTATTTTGCCAGAACTGAGGTGGCGATCCTACACCCCGGCGTCACGGGTGTCAACTCACTGGGGCCCTGGGTGCAAGAGCATGCACAAAATCCCCCATGGAGGGATTAGGACCCTCGTACCGACGGAACCTCATACCTCTGGGCCTAGTACCGTCGTACCTACGGGACCGCCTCTCCCAGTATGCCCCACGGAGAGCATACCATAAATAGCAACACCCTAGAGGTCCCGGGCCCTAAGGAAGTTAGATTAGCCTCAACCGGAGGCAGGGCCTTTTCAGTGGTGGCCCCGGCCTGGTGGAACGCTCTGTCTCATGAGACCAGGGCCCTGCAGGATCTGATTTCTTTCCACAGGGCCTGTAAGACAGAGTTGTTCCGCCTGGCCTTTGGCTTGGAGCCAATTTGATTCTCTCCCCCTCTTTTAATGTTTCCATATTTTAATGTTGTCTTTTTATCTTGTTTTGAAGTTGTATTCATTCAACTTGTTTTTATTATTGCTTGTTAGCCGCCCTGAGCCTGGCCTTGGCTGGGGAGGGCGGGGTAGAAATAAAAATTATTATAGTGGTACCTCGGGTTAAGTACTTAATTCGTTCCAGAGGTCCGTTCTTAACCTGAAACTGTTCTTAACCTGAAGCACCACTTTAGCTAATGGGGCCTCCTGCTGCCACCACGCTGCCGGAGCACGATTTCTGTTCTCATCCTGAAGCAAAGTTCTTAACCTGAAGCACTATTTCTGGGTTAGGGGAGTCTGTAACCTGAAGCATCTGTAACCTGAAGTGTATGTAACCCGAGGTACCACTGTATTATGATGATGGAGGGCCAGGCACCCACACATTTTGGCACGCTGCATGTCACCCACGGTCGCGGGGCTCCCCAACTCCCACCCGGCAGCCCCCTTACCGGACCACAGGAGCAGCTTGTCGTGCGCCTCCTCTTGCGAGCTGGAGTCCCCGGCCAGGAGGGTGGAGGTGGCGGCGTAGGGCAGCGGAGAGCCCAGGCACACGCTTTGCTGGAGCGCCTCGCATTGCGCCGCGCGCTTGCACCGCTCCTCGCCCCGGCCCGACGGCGCCGCCGCCGCCGCGCTCCCGTTGAGCCTCGAGGCCGCCGCCGCCGCCCCGCCGTCCGGGGCGCCCAGCCCCACGCCCAGCAGCCCCCAAAGCAGCCACCGGACCAGCCCTAAAGGGGCCATCGGAGCGCCCGCGCCGCCTGCGCCTCCTCCTCGGGTTTCCCCGGCCGTGCGCCTAGGGCGCACCGGGCTCCGCGCGCAAGGCGCCTCGTCCCGGGAGTCGCGGGCCGGGCAGCAGCGGCGTCGCCTCGGCCTGGGCCTGGGCCCCACCGAAGGCCATGATCCAGAGAGCCGCCCCCTCGGCCAAGGCAGCCCCCGGGTTGCTTTTTGAGTCCCCCCAAAAAGTCAGGAAGGAGAGGGAGGAAAAAAAACTTGGCGCGGACTTTTGCCAAAAGTTCCCAAGCAGAAGAAAAGCGTTGCAAAGTTTTGGCCGCCTCTTGCAGCAGTTCCTCCCGCCGCCGCCGCCGCCGCCCGCTCCTCCTGCTCCTCCTCCTCCTCCTCGGGCTTCTTTGTTGCTTTTGCTCCTTTCTCAAGAATGCGGGGCCGGGGGAGGGAGCCCAAAAGAGGGAGAGGAGCCCGGGCTCGCCGCCTCCCCCTTCTGCCTCCGCGATGGAAGCGCAGCGGGGGAAGGAGACGCCGAGAGAAAGCGAGAGAGCGAGCGAAGAAGACCGAAGAGAGGGGGAGAGAGAGAGAGATCAGACCCCCCCACAAAAAACTTGGGGAGCTCAGCGAGAAAAAAAAAGGGAGCCCCGTGTGTGGAGAGAGATGCTGCCTCGCTCCCCCTCCCCAAAAAACACAGAAAACCCAAAACTTTCCGCCGCCTCCTGACGCGCCCTAGGAGAAAAAAAAGTTACGTGTCCGTCGGTCACTGTCTAGCGTGACCGAGCGACGGATCTGGGGGGAGGGCGGCGCAGATTTTAAGGAGCAAGGCTGGGTTATCCGAGGCAGCCTGTGCCAACCGGGTGCCTTCTAGACGTTTTGGATTACAGCCAGTGCCGGATTTACGTATAAGCTAAACAAGCTCTAGTTTAGGGTCCCACTCTCTTGGGGGCCCCCAAAAAAATTAAAGGGGGAAAAACTGGGTGTACATTTCCAAAACAGAAGATGAAAAAACTATAAAATAAAAGCTACGTACAGCACGTGTGTTTTGTGTTGTGTAGGCTCCTAGGATGTAAGTCATGGGCCTCGCCTGCTCCCTAAAATATCCCTGTTTTGCTCCTTTCTATATATAGGGTGCCCACATTCTGCATGGACTTTTGCGTGGCAACATGTGCAAATGGCTTGAGATACCTATTAGGTCCATCAATTACCATATAGCATCTATTCCACACAAAAAACAGCGACCATTTGTTGTTGACAAAGGACAGCTGGACATATCAAGGGCCCCATTACCTCCAGTAGCTGAGGGCCTCATCAAACCTAAATCCAGCCCTGACTAGAGCCCCCTCCCCCATGAGCCAATGGAATAGAAATATAATTAATTGATGTTATTTTTCGTTCAGTTTTTTTAAAAAAAACACCAAATAAAACCCACAACCAGCAGTGGGTTGCTGCACCTAGCGTTAAGTCATCCTAAGAGGAGACCCATTGAAATTAGTGAATGTGGACCACTTAGGTCTGTTGACTTCAATGGGTCTACTCTATGTAAAAAGTTAGTTGGATAGACTTGTATACCCACCTACGTGGTGAATTGAAACAACAGATGGGCCTCAGAAGACTATGAGAGTCAGGACAGAGGCACTATTATTTATTTATTTATTTGCTTACATTACATTATCTGTCTACAATGTTATCAACAATAAATTTGTGTTATGTTTATTCAAAACCTGCCAAGGAGTTCAATATATTTGTGGTGTTTTTAAATAGTTTGTATAAAGTTCGCATTCCTCCTTGAGGTCACAGTTGTCCTTGTCTAACAAGTTGTATGTCAATTTGGCCAGTTCTGCATAATCCATCAATTTCCCTTGCCACTGATCTTTTGTTGGGGTTTCTACATTCTTCCATCCTTGTGCTATCAAGACTCTTGCCGCTGTTGTAGCGTACATAAATAATAAAAAAGTGAATTTCATTAAAGGGAATTGTTTTCAAATAGACATGAAAACTTCCAAGTTAACAAATGCTCTACCTGTAGGTATAGGGCGGTATATAAATTCAATCAATCAATCAATAACATAGCTGTCAACTGTCTCTTATTTGGAGGGAAAGTCCCTTATCCCAGCGCCGTGTCCCGCTGCTGTCCCTTATTGATGATGTCCCTTAAATTTCCCGGGTTTCAAAGGAAGCAGCTCCTCTCCCTCCCTCCCTGCCGGCCAGGGAGGAGGGAGGCTCCATCTGTGTTGCTTGGCTGCGTTGCTCACCCAATAAGGAGTTGGAGAACGACTGGGGGGTGGAGTTTGCATGCCTTGTGCCAATCAAATCGGCCGTGTTGCCTGGGGACTCGCCTTTGCTCAGCGCTTCCCAGCGGAGCGGTAACGGTGGTTTTCCTTGCTGCATCCCCTTTGCCGGGTTGCTGCGCTGTGGGAACCACCGCTTGAGGCTTCGTTTGGCTGCTGGCTGGGCTTTCTGCCTTTGGCTCAGAGGGGCTCAGAAGTTGAACATACCTGTGCTCTGAAAATCCCTTATTTTGGCTGCTGATCCCTTATTTCCTTGGCTGCTGGTCCCTTATTTTCAAATCTGTAAGTTGACAGCTATGATCAATAATAACCCACCAATATAACCGGTACATAGAAAACAACAATGAAAATAACACATCACATAGTCAGGTGACTGCAGAAAACAAACCCGCCTCACAGAGAGGGGGAACCGGCACATGTTCAACCAGAGTCAGAATCACAGAATTGTAGAATTGAAAGGGACCCTAAGGGTCATCTAGTCCAACCCCCTGCAGGTAAGCCCCTGTGGGTGCCTGCCACATCTATGTGCTATTTATTTCATACAAATTATATACTGATTTTTTAAAAGAAAAACATAATTCAAAGCAGCTTACAAGCGATTTCCAATAATCTCCTATACATAAACAAAACACCCCTTAACCCATTTTTTTTTTAAATTCAGATTTCTTTTTCATTCATTACATACATCTCATATCCATAACATTTACTATGCATTCCTTCCTCCCTCCCCTCCTGGGCTTCCCCCAACTTCCGCTTCTGGTTTGTTTCTCCTTTCACCCACCTTGCTACCTCCTAAAAGAAAAAATACGAATAACATATTTATACAACAACATCTAATCTAAAAACATAAAGATGAAAATAAATACACCATATTATTTATCTGTCTTCTACACATTTTCTAATACTAGTGATGCGAATGTTTAAATCCTGCCATCAAGTCTATAGACTTTCTTTGTTTCTGCAAATATAATATAAATGGTTCCCATTCTTTTTCAAAGTCACTGTTGTCTTTTTCTCTTAGTCTGTCTGTCATTTTTTGCCAGTTCTGGATAGTTCATCAACTTCTCTTGCCATTGTTCTTTAGCTGGTATTTCTCCAGTCTTCCAATTTTGTGCACTCAACATTCTCGCAGCTGTAGTGGCATACATAAATAAAGTCACCCATTCTTAACTCTATTAAACCCAGTCCTAAACGTATCCTGTACATTACACTTCAATTTGAATATGTTTGTCATTTAAAAAAATAATGCATTACATCTGTATCTCAAAGGAACCTAAGGAACTGCCTTTTGTACATGGTAAATTTGATGCAGGTCAGAACTTTATTGTCTTTAAGGTGGCACAATGTGGATACTTTTATTTGTAGATTTCAGAGACCAGCAGCTTAGGCTAAGTTCCTTTAGCTGACCTTTAGTTAGCCATACCAAAAAAAATTCATTCTAGACTGTTAACAAATTAAAATATAAAAAATAAGAAGGAAATGTGATTACTGTACACAACTGCAATACTACCAAGTTTCTAAACCCAGGACCTTGGTGAAATAAATCACTGATTCATTAAAACCTCACTAAAAGCTTTCCTTCAAACAAAATCACTGTTTCAGTAACGTTATTCTGATAACTCCTGTATTTAATTAGCTGCTTTGTCAGGAAACAAACCAGAGATACGCAGATTATAAATGACTGACAGTGCAGGATTATATCTGATTCACTCTCCGGCCATGCAAGAATGACACTCGAGCATCTGAAATGTTATTCGCTTTTGCTGCACGTTAAGGGAATTCATCATGCGAAAGGCTGGGCTGGATGAATCCCAAGCCGGAATTAAGATTGCCGGAAGAAATATGAACAACCTCAGATATGCAGATGACACAACCTTGATGGCAGAAAGTGAGGAGGAATTAAAGAATCTCTTAATGAGGGTGAAAGAGGAGAGCGCAAAATATGGTCTGAAGCTCAACATCAAAAAAACGAAGATCATGGCCACTGGTCCCATCACCTCCTGGCAAATAGAAGGGGAAGAAATGGAGGCAGTGAGAGATTTTACTTTCTTGGGCTCCATGATCACTGCAGATGGTGACAGCAGTCACGGAATTAAAAGACGCCTGCTCCTTGGGAGAAAGGCAATGGCAAACCTAGACAGCATCTTAAAAAGCAGAGACATGACCTTGCCAACAAAGGTCCGTATAGTTAAAGCTATGGTTTCCCAGTAGTGATGTATGGAACTGAGAGCTGGACCATAAAGAAGGCTGATTGCCGAAGAATGGATGCTTTTGAATTCTGGTGCTGGAGGAGACTCTTGAGAGTCCCATGGACTGCAAGAAGAGCAAACCGATCCATTCTGAAGGAAATCAGCCCTGAGTGCTCACTGGAAGGACAGATCGTGAAGCTGAGGCTCCAAGACTTTGGCCACCTCATGAAAAGAGAAGACTCCCTGGAAAAGACCCTGATGTTGGGAAAGATGGAGGGCACAAGGAGAAGGGGACGACAGAGGACGAGATGGTGGGACAGTGTTCTCGAATCTACAAACATGAGTCTGACCAAACTGCGGGAGGCAGTGGAAGACAGAAGTGCCTGGCGTGCTCTGGTCCAGGGGGTCACGAAGAGTCAGACACAACTAAACAACTAAACAACAACAAAGGGATATAATTTGCAGGAATATTAGACATGACTTCCTGGATCAGAGCAAAGTTGGGCCAACATTCCAGTTTGGATCCAAAGACTCCTTCATT